AATTTGAATTTAATGATGGTGATTTCGGTGCATTATGATAATGTCGGATCGTCAGGTGTGAACTTCTGTTTCTGCGTGTAAAGCTTCTGTTCAGGAAAAAGATGGACGTGCGTTGCTTTCAATTTGAATGAAATTTATACTTGAAAGATAAATTGATAATTTGTATCATGCAGGCCTATAAGTTATTTAATATAAATGAATTATATTATTTGATACAAACTATACAAGGAAAATTAGAATAAGCAATTATTGCAACTCATGCTTCCGAGTTAGCTTAATTTATTAATTTAGCATTTATTTGAATGATCAACTGCTTTATATTATTAATTTTTGTATTTGTATCCATTGCAAATTTTTTGTCTTTACAAAATACCTCCCATAAAAATAAATTATAATATAATTTATTTAATTGTATAAAATTATAAATAAATATTATGAAATTTTACTAAAATGAAAAATCTTATTTTAATCATTTTAATATATATTTTTTAAATTAAATTAATTACTAATATTTTTATGCTGAATTATTTTTAAACCAAACATATTATTTGTGAAAAAGTTTTAACTATTGAGAATGAGCAACAACCCTACGATGTATTTTAATTTAACCAAGATTTTAAATGCTAGATTCAAGAGCATACGCCCCAATAAGATATATTGCTAGACTTCTATAAGCAAAATGTCATCAGTTTCAAATTTCTCGCTATAGCGCGGCAGAGATTTGGGAACTGTGTGCGGCCGGAGTAGAATTATTGGCCTGAAACGTGAGCCTTTTTTCGCATTTTGAGGCAGCAAGCGAGACGGAGGGCAAAATAGAATATTTAAATTCGCTGGCTGCGAAAAGATCTGGCAGAAAGGAGGCGTAATCAAACTGTCAGACTCTGAAATTTGTGAATAGAAACGCTCGCTCGCGCGCAGAGAGATACAAAAGCAATTGAAGACAGCTCATCATAAAGAAAGCTCTGCTGCGAAAGAGCAAAACAGCATTTTTCACTCGATTCTTGCCGGCGCTCTTATCAGCAGGCAATTTATGTAGGAGACGTGAATATTTCGCAAACCAAAAAAGTTCGTTTCGGCCGAAAACACACAGAGAGAAAAAGCGCCGAGCGGTCCGTGCGCGACAATGTGTGTTTGTCTCGATGTAATAAACCGAGATTGCTATCGCCCGATGATTTAACTTGTTGAAAAACATTTTTCCAGCGCCAACAAACAAGTTGCAGCGAAAATAGATCTCTTTTCTTATATATAAATTCCCTCTCTGAAATAGCCCTCATACATATTGCATTTTTTTGCTCGGATCTTACATCAGCTCAGACTCCAAGGCGCCCTGGCATTTTTAATTATATGGGCCCAGAGTGGAGGCGTCCCTGCTCAGTAATTTATTTGATTCCGATGAAAATGAAATTGCTTCTTTCCAATTCAATGACAATCGAGACAAAAAAACACGAAATAAATTAAGTAATTTGATCAAAATACAAACAATGTATTAAGAAACTCCTAAAAGGGAAATTATTTGATTAAGATATATTTAGTTTTTCTTTAATTGTGTGTAAAATTTGATCCATATCAATACAAGCTTTTATTATTATTTTCCATACAGTTAATAGAATAAATAATGAAATTATTTTTTGCGGTTAGATTAACATAACTTTGGTGAAGTTTAAATTCACAAGCAGCAGACCAAAAAATAAAATACCTTTGCACTGCTGATCTGTCTGTTAAATTGCCCATGAAATTAATTTATGAGTGACCGTGGTAGAGAGATATAAGCCGGGCCATCTGAGGGTACTCGGTTCCTCGAAACTGTGGCATAAGGCCGCCGTTTTCCCCTCATCGCGCCTTTTCTACAACTCTCCGCGGGTCTTTTTCTGCTTTTGACACATTCGACCGTTTTGAAAATAACATGTTATTATAAAAATATTAAATTTAAGCTGTTACAACTAATTACACAGTGTGAGTATAGTGGAGAGAGCAGCACAGCTGCCCTGGGCGAATTATTCCTACAAATGCCACAAATTCTCTTTTAAGAATTTAAAAAATATATATAAATATATGAACGCCCGCGTGGCGAGAATTTGGACTGGAGGAAGAAAAATGGTTTGGCATTAATATCAGAAACCTTTGACGAGTAAATATAAAAAATACAACGACTAAAACGTCCGCACATTTGTCAGGACTTGAACTCTTCCTGGAAGAATCAGAGTTGCTCAATCATTTTTGTAGCATAAAATTTGGATAGATTCTCGCACATTGAATCATATCCGAATTATTAAAAATTATTAAATTATATCTGATTTGCAATAATATTCACTTCATACTAAATTAATTTTGAAATTAAGGCTAAACTTTTTTTGAGAAAATGGTGCTGCAGGTTGAATTATGTATCTAATTGTTTAAAGTTACCGACTGTCCCTGCTGTATACAAATTTCAAAGCCTTATAGTAATTAGTTATTTGAAATATTTTTAAATTGCATATCTTGTGATTTAAAGAAAATAATTATGGAGACGTCCTCTTCTGACAGCTAACAACGTTCAGATATCAACACAATCAAGCAGAAAATCAATATCTTCATTAAAATTAAAAAGAAAGGCAGGTTATTATTCATCCTGCAGGAGTGTGTTTGCATTTTTGAAGCACAACAAGTCTTGTCCGATAATGAGCATCGGCACAAATGAAATTGTGTGCGCAGGTTGTTGGCCAACCAGGCAGACAACATCATCATCAGTACGCGCGGTTATTCGTTTTGAAAAATTATCGCAGTCGCTCTTGCAGACACGTCCCGCGCCGCGCGTGTAGCTGGGGCTGCATAATGCACAGTCATGGGTGTTTTGAAAATGCCTGCCGCTGTCAGTCAGCCAGCCTGTATTGACAGCTCTTTTTCTCGCAATAACTGATTCCCACTATCGATAACTGTCCGCGCTCATAATTTCCAGCCTCCTTTATCGCATCTCCGCTAACAATCGACTCCGCTCGCGCGGCCCACAACAATGCATACGCGACACGCCACTTTTCCTTCGAGGAATCTGACAGCCCTGAGAAAATTTTTAAATTATAAGAGGTTATTGAACGACGACACTTTGCATCTTCGTGAAATTTCTTGATTGCAGAGTGATGTTATTTGAGATAATTATGGAAATTTCCATTAAAAATAGAAAGAAAAAGGTTTTGGGTTAATTTAAAAGTGTTGTAAAATAAGATGGGAAAAAAATCAAAAAATGATTGTTTTTTATAATTAATGAATAGATGCAATAATATGCCATAAAATAGAAGATAAATATAAAGCTTAAATAGTTTTAAATTAAATTTAATAAACTAAGTACTGAGCATAAATGAATGGCTCAATGCAATGGTGTCAATATTGATTTTGCAAATTTCGGAGAAGCAAAAATGTACAATAAATAATATGGTGCATATTAATAAAATTCAATTATTTTTGTCGTTTGAAACAGCTTTTCTCTACATGAGGAAGAATTAGAATTAGGTATGTCCGTTTGAATTTTTACTTTTGTATCTCATTGATAATAAATGAGCACAACTGCTCAAGACTCCATGTTGAAAAATGTAGCCCCTGAGAAATTGGCACTAAAAGCACCTGCTTGAACGATGTACAGTTTATTTGCAGTGCTAATGGTTAATCATGCTTGCTCGAAAACTGCTGCCTGACAAGTTCTGTTATTCATTTACGCCCAGGCAGCTGAATTAATTTTGATGGCAGCCGCCAACACTTGAGTAACTGAAAAAGTTTCCAATTATTATTTGCCTAACTTCAATTGCATTTGAATTCTTCAAATAATTCGCATTGATTTATTATACTCAATATATTGTTTTGAACATTTCTCTGAAATAATTAATTTCTGCACACGGGCACAAAAACAAAAATAGCTGTTGGATAGGCAGCCGGCTGCACACTGATGCTCCGCTTGCTGCATAAACATTTCTGTCAATCTAAAATTATAGCTATTACGATTGAAAACAACTATAATCTCTTTCTGCTGTGACAGGTAACCAAGCGAATTAATTTTTCCGTCGTTTAATTTGTTACGAGTGCGATTGTGTTAAGGTCAGGGTATGCAAAGATGCAGATAGTGTCAGGGACAGACGTAAAAAGCATGTTTTCTCCAGAAATTACACGCATTTTCCACGCCATAAAACCGCGGTATCTTGAATCGCATTCTTCATTCTGCGGTCGTAAAAGAGAACGAGAGACGATAATATGCACTCGGAACAAAGACCCTCGCTCATTTTGATATCTCTCATCACTAATCAAAAGTGTTTCGCGGTGTAAACTCATTTGCCGGGCATCTGAGCAAACGCCTTTCTAGTAAGTCGGCTCCGACGCTTTTATTAATGCGAGTGATAAGGCGGCAGGGCGAAGGTGGAGTCAGGGCCCATTAAAGGCTTATCTCGAACACAAATCGCACAATGGCACTGTGTCAAGATCGTTTTTTGTCAATCTAATTTTACACGTCTCCTCATTAGCCCTTTTTGACAGGTGTTTTTTCTATGGCCTGATGAGAAGCCTCTTACTTGACCAGCATCGTTAAGCAACTCCTTTTTTTACACAAAAATAGCTTTTCAGCATAAAGTTTTATTTGATGGAAAAATTGGAAACATCAATGAGTGCATGAGTTTAAAAGAGATATGATGGTGGCACTGACAAAATAACATTAAAACTAGCTACCTCTGAAATTTAAGATTTTCGTACTGATCGTGAAGAGTAAATTAAAATAATCAAATATTAATTAAATTATCCTTAAATGAGAAAAACTCAGCTCCTCTTTTTCTTACAAAACATAAGGATAAAATTAAAAAATTGAATAACTTTGAAAAATGATTTGTGATTTGTGATGGAATAATTTTTTTCAATTGCCATCCAACACTCATGAATAAAAAAATAATAATAATAGAGATAATAAAAAATAATAACTGAAATGAGAAGTATCTGTAGGGAGTTTTCAAGCGGCTAACCAATAAAAAGAAATGATATAATTCTTTTAAAATAGTAATGTCAATTTAATTGACAACTTTATGTAAAATTAACCTTATTTCAACTTGTATCTTTAAAATGAACATAGTACATAGTTTGTACTCAATTTTGTGAGCTGCACTTCACTTCACTTAAGTTGATTTTAAATAAAATCTGGCAGCCTTTTGCTACTAATTGTCAATTTGGACTTATGCAAATTGTAAGTGAAAAACTTAAAATTTCATCACAGATGATCTACTTATGATTTCATTCTTCTGATAAACGAGTCAATTTTTGCCTTACGAATCTAAAAAAAAATCAATGTGATACAAAATAAAGAGAATCGAGAAGAATATCAATAAAAAATCTTACCTTTGGTTTTTCCTGCTTATCCAGGTTGATGATAGGCACAATGGTGTTTCGCCCATGTGCACATTGAAAGGGAAGTTTGCAGTTGGAGAGTTCTGTGAGAAGATCAGCACAGGCTGCTCTTGAGAGTGACATGTTGAATTTGATGGCCCCTGAAAAAAAATTTATTTTGTAAACAGCACCATTCTTTAAAATACTTTTCATTTTTAGTTTATTTTATTATTATTTACCTGAACAAGCCTCGCTATTTAAAACCTCAATAATTTCCTGTGGAATGCTCATGCAAATGCCTTTAGTACAAGTTAATGTCTGAGCTAGCTCCCTGATTAACTTTTCAACAGCATCCTCCAAATTCCAACCTATAACTTGACTCTAGAATAAAACAAATCTTATTAGGATCAACACATATTAAGCAGTTTTAAAAAAATCACCTGAACCAGCCTTTCGTGTTTTTTAGAAAAGCACAATGGGACAGAAAAGACTCTTACTTCAGTTTCACTCATCGCCTCACACTCCAAACCATATTGAGCAAATATGCTCTGGAACTCGATGACTGCACTTATCACACTTTTTGAGAGATCAAAATTTTTTGGAGGATGCACAGGTGCGGAGAGGAAGCAATTGTTCTTCTGGTAATCTAAATTTAAAATTAAAGATTGAAATTTCAATCTGCTCTTTCCTTTACCATTTGTCAACATTTCCAGACGAATCCTCTCATGGGCTCCATGCTGATCAATCAGCACCACCATATTTAAGTTGCTTCCTTTACTGGAGTTGGCAAGTGCAATAACAGCCTTGTTGTCAAACTGGGCAATTGCCTACAAAATAATTAATGAAACTATTTATAGCTAAACAAAAAGAAAATAGACCTTTGCATTGTTTAAAGTTTCGGGCTGAAACTCGTACTTGTGAAATGAGCTTCGTAGCCCAGTGAACAGCTCGTTAGTCTCTAAGGGAGGCATTTCCCTGGAGCCTGCTTCAATCACATGTCTCTGGACAAGGCCCTGCATTTCTATAAACAAATGAACATGAAATTAAAAAGTGCGAGCAAATAAAAATTTACCTAGGCCTTCTTTGCCAGAGGCCACATCTGAGGAATTATTCCACTTCAGCAATTTGGCGTTTTCTTCGCAGCTGACCAATGTTTCCTCCACTAATTCAGATAGTTTGTTTTTCTCTCTAGCGTCGAGTTGAAAATCACAGTTTGTGGCTAAATTGCAGATAGGGGACGCACCGACAGGCAACAGATGGCTTCTCTCATTGATGGCAAATCCGTCTTCGACTTTAGGAGATTCAGTCATGATTTGTCCAGTTTGGGAGTTAAGAAAAAACTGCTTCCCATCATTAGACTCCAGCAAACACCACTCTTCAGACATTTTTGCTTTTTTTGGCTCTCCCAGAGATACGGCCAGAGGGGATGATTTCTTCCGCTTCCAACTGCTCTGCGAAATTTCAGGCTCCTCCAAATCAGGGGCAAACGATTCCATAAACTCATCATCAAACAATTTTAAACTGTTGTTCTCCAATATAACGGGAATATCATTTGTTGCATCGTACTCTTCACTTCCTGCGTCCAAAGGTTGATCTCTTGATGGTGTCAAATGAAGCATTTCATAGTCATCATTTTGCTCATCTAAGCCCAGGAAAGGACTGTTTTCAACAATCATCTGGGGGCGCAAAGAGCACATTTCCAAGTAATCATAATTCTTTGTGACTTCAATGCTTGAACTTCGTGGAGGGCCAAAAAAACTAGCAAGGTCTTCACGTTCTGGGTCATTTGGTGAGAGGTGCTGAAGGATTTGCAACCCTGGCTCCTTTTCAAGCAGCTCTGGTGGCGACTTTGTCATGTAGCTTTGAGAGGGTTGCTCTTCCGCAGTATAGTACACATCATAGCTGCACCTAAATCAACGTTAACAATTGAATAAAAAAATCAAATAAACAAGATAAAATTACAACCTGTTTGTGTACGACCCAGCATTTGAATTTTCATGTTCTTCTGGTGGTGCATCATCCAAGATCTGATCATATGATGGGCTCTCATAAACTTCATTGTCATCTGAGTCGAAGACAATGTTCTCACAATCTTCTTTGCTCTCGTTAAGTATCGGATTGAAATCAAAATCATTGTGCCTGTTGAAAATGTCCTCGGCAGATTCAATTGCCGCTTCGACAGCCATAGTTTCCAGCACCTGAGTCAAAGAGGAAGAGTTTTGCTTTGAAGATGATTCGCTTTCCTCCTGGGTCTGAGTATTTAGCTCATTTAAATTCAGCAATGCAAGGAAATCAGAAAGAGATGTAAGCACTACTTGCGAGTACTTTTCAAACACAATTTCTCTGGCTTGTTCGTAACACCATGAGTTTTCCTCTATTTCTGGACTGCTAAAGTCACTAGTTGGTATTCTTGTGTTTGGAGATTTTGGGGTGGAAGCCTTTTCCTTGTTTTCCGTCTTGATGGCAGAGCTGAATCTTTCCAGGTGAGGCATCACATCATCCCAAGTCTTAACAATTTCATTTCCAGGACTGAAAAGAATAATCTATTAGTTATTAAGAAAAACATGCATCATTAAAAATTGCCTGTGATTTGAGGCAGGCTTTTTCATGACTTCTTCCACAATTTCCTTTGTGGAAACTACCCTTCTCGAAATTGCTCCTTTGGTCTGTCTGCTCATTTTGATTTCGCTGTTAATTTGAGGCATTTTTAAGTTCGCCGGAGGCTTCTCAATCTTCTGCTCGTTCCCTTTCAAAACTTCCAATGGGATTTCTAAACCTTGAATCTTCGCAAATCCCTTCACAGCTCCCTCAAATACTCTCTGCACAGCCTCATGATTTTTGAAATCAATCAACGTTTTACTTGGGTCTGTTGTGATGTCATATGAGGAGTATGGGCATGAAAGGTTAAGTACGAAGACTGGGTACTTTTGCTTCTTTTCACTTTTGAACATCCAGGAGAGCAATTTTATCACAATTTGGTGCACAGAGGTTTTCAGGACAATTCTAAAATTAAAATAATCAAAAATTAAATTTACACTAAATGGAACAATTATTTAAATTACCTTTTGTTTACATAAACAAATTGGTAGCTTTTGTCATGATGGCCGATGGGACTGATTAAACCTTCCACTGACAGTCCCTCACCGTTTTTGAACTCAACCTCCTGCAAGCGGTCAGCCAGAACAGGACCAAACAGCTGGCCAAAGACGTCCTTTGTGCTGCCACACTTGCGACTCTCGAGCAACACCTTTCCGGTGGCTTCGTTCTTCAGGGAAAATGAAACATGCGGATGAACAAGTGCCAAATATTCCACTTCCCGCAGTATTTCCTTTGAGTCAAAGTGTTCATTGACTTTTTTCTTCCTCACTGGCATGTTGTACAAATATTCAAACACAGTGACTGTGGTTCCAGCAGAAGGTCTCTCCTCCTTGGCAAGCTTAACTGAGCAAGGTTTGCCTTGGATGAATGTCTTGTCGTAGGTGGAGCAGCTGGTTAGGGCTCTTGATGTGATTTGAAGACGGTTGCAGATTTCACTAATGCTGGCCAGCGACTCTCCTTTGAAGCCAAATTTATCCGAGCAGTTTTCCAAATCATTCAGGGAATTGCATTTGCTGGTCATGTACCTGATTAGAAAATGAGTCAATTTAAAAAATATTGCTTAAAATGCATTCAAGATACCTCTCTCCAATCAAATCAAGATTTTTCTCGTCAACCCCATATCCATTGTCCACAACTTGAACTTTGAAAGCGCCAAAATCTACTCTCGCAGCTATGCATGTGGCTCCAGCATCAATTGAATTGCACACCTGTGAATTTGAAAAAATTAATACATGAACTCAATTAAGGTTACAAATTAATTTTACAAGCTCTGTTACGCATTGGGAGAAGCTGCTGATGGAGTGGCTCGATCTAATCAAAGAGCAGACGCTTTCACTCAGCTTTCGGATGTCCCCAGGACCCGAACTCGACATTTTGATCGAGCCTTTCTGTACTTTTCAATCAAAGACTTACTGCTTCTGCAACTTCCTTGACCATCAGTCGATTCTAAATATCATACAACGAGAAATCTATATTAAAAAAACAAATTTATGAATAATCGCATGGAATGTCTTATGGCATAAAATAAAAAGATTGTAAATTTTGCGGATTCTGTGTTTACATAGATGCATGTATAACAATTCATACAACATAAACTACATAATACACAATTATTCCAGAATTTAAAATTTGAATTGCATAAACTTGTGATTTAAATCTCACCAGCAAAATTTTCCTCGCCGGCAACTAAACTGCACGCGCGAAGACCGACAAGTTCATGTCATCTGCCTGTCTGCGTTTGTCACTAGTACGGATCCGGCTCCTTCCTGTGGCCGATCTGCAAATTCTTAAACAAGTGCCAGCAGGTATAGGCGCAAAATTTGGCGCAAACGCAAGATGAAAAGGAAAGTTGTAAGAACGTAAACAAGCAAGCGACCGGCAAAGCTGTGATTGGTCAGCAAAAGCCGCCAGCCCGCCAGCGCTGGAATAAAAACTTGTTCAACTTGTGGCCTGTAGGGTGTGGGACTGTACAAACTGTGAAGGGTTTTACCAAGGTTTTGATTTATTTTTATACGTATTATATTATTTTATTTTTAAACTTTTCCGACCACCATTTCCCGATATTGTATATTTTTTTCAATTATCATCATTCATCATTATGTATCTAGAGTTTTGTTATAAAATTACAAAAACACAATCACAGGTTTGGACGATTAACAATAAGTGCAAATTTTTAATTATTTTATCATTTCGTTTTTCAGTTTACTATTATGAATTAAATTTTTATTATTATGTAATTTATTAAAAAAAAATACGAAAGTTTAAGCAGTGGCGATATTTTTTTTAAATTAATCATTGACGACCAAACTTAGACTAATTGTAAGCTTTGACGAAAAATTTTCCTTTTTTCATTCACAAAACGAATGGCTCTCTAAAGCTGGTATTTTTTTAAATGAAAAGCACTCTTTTTAATCAGGACAACAGAAGGACCGAGCCCGTTTTTCATTAAACTCGATGAACGTTTCCTTGAGCGCCAATTTTGTTAACTCCAATGCTCGGTATTTTGTTCAAAAGTTTTTCAACAAAAGAGAATGTGTACTTAAAAACTTGATTGCGGTCTGTTGCGGTTATGATTTCTTGACATAAATTTCTATCCAAACAAAAAATTTGTACACAGTAAAACAATCAACTTTATATGAAAGCAACCGAAAGCAACGAGGCAGATGCAATATATTAATTCAATAAGTTATTATCAATTCATAAAGGGATGAGTTGATAATAATTTTTGGTATATATAGTATTTTACCCAGGGCCCATTGCACTAAAATTTTCCAGCACTTTTCAAAGAATTTATTACAGAACGCGTGAAAAATATCTCTTCATGCTTTAATAGCTGCTGAGAGACTGTCCTTGTAAAAGCATATTCCGTTTTAATTAACTTCTTGGCTGTCACATTTTTAAAAAAAGCAAACATATCTAGCAGAGAAAGCTTAACTTCTCTGTACGCACTTAAATTGCTTTCTGTGAGCAACATTAATGAATTGGAAAACGGAGGACTACAAAATTCATACATTTATGTGAAGCTCAGATTAAACGATTCAGTCGTTGTATAAATAGAGAATAAAATGATATGCTTTTTCTCACACATTATAAAACAATCTTTTATGTCACTTTCTTTTAAGATCTTTTATATATTCTTTAATATTTAATGGCTCAATTTTTTACTCTCGAACTTCAGCATCTACAATCAGAACTTTTTCGTATTGAAAATTAATTCATAATATTGGTTATTTTTTATGAAAGTGTTCTGTAATAATTTATATTAATATTTTAGTAGTTTATCATTAACTCTCGTTCGCTCTTTCTATTTTCAGTTAATTTCTGCATAGTTTGCAAATCTGAAAAAATTAAAATATATAATTTTATCTTGGTAAATTATGAAAATTTTTAAATTTTAATCGGTGTTAGGCCTTATTTTTCTATTCTCTCTTTTTCTATTGTTGTCACGGAATATATGCTCGTTGCTAGAAATTAAGTCAAACAAAAGAAATAAATCTGCTTAACGAAATTTTTACATTTTTTTACAACGTTAAACAAACAAGACGAGTATAAAAAAAGCGGACGGAAGAGAGTAAAAGTTGAATTTGGCCAAAAGGAGGAAATAGAAATCGTAAAACTGGTTTGAATATTTAACTCACTAAAAAATGCTTTCGTCTTTTGCTGCGAGAACGGTGAATAATAATACTCCAGATCAGTCTATTTAATTAAGAGCTAGTAAAAGGCCGGGATCCACTCACTTTAGAATACTTGCCTAGCGGTCCCATAAAAAACTCACCTTGCCCCTCACACGCGCTCACCTCTGACGATCTCGTTAAAAAAAACTGTGCTTAGGCGGTGAACTTCGCGTCATGATTTAATAAATTTCACTTTCTTATTGGCGCGATTGAGTTATCAATCTCTCATCGGAGAAGCCGCCGCTCCTAGCCTTATTTAGATCGCTACGAGAAAAGAGAATATGAAAAGTTTGATCTGCATCAAAAAGTCGCAGGACGGGAATAATCACTGATTGTATGATGAGTTGAGAGCAGCAGGGGAAGTCGAGCGAGTTTTCTCTCTTGGCTTGTAATTTGGCTGCCGCATGTATAAATGCTTATTCTTTTTCTCATAAAAGTCTGCGCGCGATATTGTGGATCGTTGGACGACAGAGAATGTGACCTAGATCGGGTGCAGGAAGGAAGGAAGATCTGCATCCCCGGTATAAAAAGCACCTGTCCCTCCCGTCCTGCTATCACTCTCGCCATGGCTCCGCTGAAAGTAAGTGCTCTTGTGCTCGGTGCGCGCAAATTACTCTCACTTAAATTTCTCTTCAATTGAGCAAAATGAAAAATATTTAAGTAACGGTTTGATGATGTTCTTGATAGGTATTGGCCGCAGTCCTTTTGCTGTCATCAGCAGCTTTAGCTCAATTAGGAGGCGGCGGCGGTGCAGGAGGACACGCGAGTGAACAGCAAGGATACGCTGCATACTATCACGTAAGCAAAAATGTTGTTTTATTTAAAATTTTTATATTATTTTTTAACTCTTATGTTTATTATTTAAAACAATTAAAAATTGGCTGGAAATCAACACAATGAAGCTGTTATCAGATCAGCTTTTAAAACATAAATTAATAGAGACACACTAAATCAGTGTATTTTAATAAAAAAAAAAAAATAAATTTGAATAAAAGTTTTTTCTAAATAATTTTAAAAATTTTTATACTTTCAATTAAAGAATCCAATTTTTTAACGTATCATAATATATTTACTCTTGTTTTAACATTTCATGTAAATTTTAAATTTTTAAATTATATTCTTTTTTTGTTTATCAAGGGTTTCTTGCCTTGAAAAAGGCATTTATTTAATTTTGAATAATTTGATGTCAAAATTTTTTATGTAAAGAAAGATTGTTCAAATAGAAAATTTAATTTTGAGTACGTTATTCCCTAAATGCTTTTAAAACCATTTAAACCTTTTTTCGCAAAAGTTATAATTGTATATTAGAATTAGTTAGACAAGTTTCACATTATTTGCTCCCTCCTTTATTAATATAAAAGTCGAATAGTGCATCTTATTGCAATTGATTGTTGATTTTTATTTTTTAGAACCCTAAATACAATTACGAATATGCGGTGAACGACGAGAAAACCGGTGACAAGAAGAGGCACAGTGAGACCCGCGACGGCGACAAAACGCACGGCGAGTACAGTTTCACCGAGCCTGATGGCACCGTTCGCACTGTCAAGTACCAGGTGCAGGGCAAGAGCGGCTTCGTCGCCACCGTGTCTCATTCGGGTCACTCGAAGCACCCCTCAAAGTACACCCAGCACTTCGACATCCCTGCCGAGCCAGCTCACCAGGAGCCGCAAAACTTAGGTCACCATGAACCTCAGCAACAGTACGTCCCTGCTCAGGCAAGTCAGGCTCCGGCTGCTGCCCACCCGGGAAGCACACAAGCAATTTACGGAGCCCCTCAGCAGCAGGGTCAGGACTCTTATAAATATGAGGACCAGAAGGAGGGCGGTTTGGCCTTGAGCGGCCCCGCACTCGCCAATCTTTTTGCCAATTATTATGCACAAGGAGGCCAGGGTGGTGGATTTGACGGTACTGATGGTAAGGGTCAGGTTGCTCAGGGTGGATATGCAGGCTCCCAGGGTGGCTTGGAAGGATATGAAAAGGGACTTTCACAGGGTAATATTGCCGCTCAGAGTGGGCTATATCAGGGTCATTTATCAGCAGGACATGCTCCAGGTCAACAGGGTGGATATGAAGTAGCTGAGGGAGGGTTTTCGGCAGGTCACAATCAGCAGGCAGCACCTGCTCTGAGCCAGGGAACTTATGCAGGATACGCAGGAGGTCAACAGGGTGGACAGGCTCAGGTATCGGCCGGTGCTTACAATCCCCTTTCAGGTGGGATCCAAAACACATATGACAACTATGGCAGGGGTCAAGGAGGCTATGAACTTTCCCTGGGAAGCCTAGGTGGTGCTCAGGGCGGTTTGGGTAACGCCAATTTTGGAGCTTACGACGGACTTAAGGGCGGGTTTGCTGGACTTGATGATTTATCCTCTTACGACTTTTCCAAGGGTTTTGAAGGTTTTGGTGGGGCTGTACAAAATGGAAAGGGTGCTAGTGCGTTTACTCTGGACGAGGTTAAGGGAGGCTTAGGAGGATATGAGGGATTTGGAAAGGGTTTAAATGGTTTCCAACCTATTTTGAGCAGCAAGGGACGTGGGCAGGATTTGTACCAGAGCGGTTTAGAGGGTTACTCGAAGGACGCGAGTGCTTTCGAATCTTTGCAGAACAGTTATTCTGGAAGCCAGGGAGGATTTGGGAAGGGTGAGGCCGATACCGCTTACCACAGCGTCGTTGCACCTCCTAAGTCAAAGCCCGTTGTCAGAACCGTCAGGTACTTGGTACCCGCGACCAAGGGGCCACTCGTCCTTCGTCCCATAAAAATCATTCGATCATAAATTCATATTTCATCAAAAAAGTCTGTAGTTTGCAAAGTTTGCAAATTGGTCTCATAAAATGTAAATCCTGTGGATTATATCCATACTTGCTGTAGAAAAATTAGTCTCTTAAAGAAAGTCTGGGATAATACTTGCCAGGGCCAAGTTTAGGTTTTGGAATTATTTAGTTGGTATTATAATTTTTTTCTAATGTAACACCTTGTGATACGTCAAACTTTTGTATCCTCCTGTGTAAAATACCTCAATTAATTTTACAACATGAAATAAAAGAAATATTTTATAAAAGTTGATTTTTATTTATCTTTAACTGTAACTATAAATTGTTAAAGAAAATTAATATCTTATTATTAGTGGTGGTATACATGTTACCTCAATAGACAAGTCTCATAATTTTATCACTCATATTACCATTAAAATAATATATATGTGAAAATTCCTTTATGAATAATAAATGATAGAAATAAGCTATTAATTTTAATATTTGGACTAAGACTGTAACCAAGCATTTTTTTTTTATATTTTAGAAATTGAGAAATTATTGAAAGTGTTTTTACTATTTATAAGAATATTTCTGAATATTAGTTGTGAGAATCTAAATTGCATCAAAGAGTATTCGCATGATTTAATCTGGTCTGATCTGATTTAAATTTAAGAGAATAAATTAATAATGAAACTTATAGTTATTGTTTGCAAAAGTTAAATTTAATTATATTTATAAACAAAATATTAGTTTTTTTAAACAATTTTAAAGATTCAAAACCCTGTTTAAATTACACAGATTTGTTTTTTTAATTCTTGTTCATATTTTATTACATACTATATTTTTAAATTTAATTTTTTTCCAACAAGTAAATAAGTTGATTATATTTTCGTTTTGTCCAGGAAGCATAATTAACCCAACTAAAAAACTAGTAAAAGTATTATTTTCATGGTTGTTGGCATTTAATTATATTTTGAATTTGCCAGAACACTTTAATGTAATGAAGAGTGCACGAAATTTGAAAGTTTTTAAATGATGTTTTAAACTCAATAAATTAATGAGCAATATGATCTCTTTAGTGGTAATTGTGATAAACTATATACAGCATAAGTAAAAAGATTCCATATCAAAATTGATTCCACTACCATTGAGCATTAGAATTTTGACCGCGAATGCATTAAAGAGCATTGTCGAGTATATTCTAAACATAATTTTCAAGATGTGGATGTGCGTGAATATATTACTATCAGATTGTTCTAAATATCCATTGGATAAACAGATAGAGGAAACAGCAATTTTCTAAAAATTAATTTTTTATTGAGGTAATATAACAGAGGAATAGGATCTAACAGTCTCAAGCGGCGTCACTATAGCATTGCAAGGAGCGAGATACGCGTTTAGTATTGGCCACCGAAGCCGCCGGCATAACCATTGTCATGGTGTCCGGCGTAGTGGTTGGTCTGAGCAGGGTGGCTGGCGTGACCCGAGTGGTGCACAGTGGCAACGAAGCCACTCTTGCCCTTGACGTAGTACTTGACGGTGCGGGTGGTGCCGTCGGCCTCCTTGAAGGAGTACTCGCCCTCGGTGTGGTCGCCGTCGCGCTTCTCAGAGTGCTTCTTGATGTCGTGAGTGTGGTCGTCGTGGACGCCGTACTGGAAGTTGTACTTGGGGTGCTGCAGAAAAAGAAAATTTAATTTTTAATTCAAATTTCAATAGTACGTATTGATGGGGTAGAATTAATAATGATCATAAGTGCTGAGCGCCTGCAAAACGTCGTGTATGCAACCTGCATTGCACTAATTGCGCTAGTTTCAATTTGAATATATTATTGTTTGAAAGAACGAAATAATCTTCCTTATTTTTATTATAAATATTAATTTCAATATAACTGGAATAAAATCATTCCAGAAAATAATTTTGCGGAAAATAAAATTATACAGTTTGCAAGTATAGCAGTTTCAAATTTTGCTATTAAATCTGAATAATGTTAATTTCAATTTCAGGCCAAAAAAAATAAATCCTATTGAAATTCAAAGGGTAAAATAAAATTATAAACATTTTTAAACTCTCACATGCGAGTAGTGAAAGCATCAATGTACTTTCAAGAGAGCTCATCTATTAAAGTGTCCTGATTAAAGTGAAGTAAAAGTGAAGTGTAAATAATAATGTATTATTCTTAATCACTTACATGGTAGTAATCAAGGTGGTGTCCGCCATACTGTCCATGTCCACCGTCCTGTCCGCCTTGTCCACCATAGCCATAACCGTTAGCGTCGAACTGTGCAGACACAGCTACGACCGCCAGGGCCAAGCAAAGGACGACCTAAAAGTAAAAATTCAATTATCTTTTTAACTTAAAAATTTTGGTCACTTTTCAATTTTCTTTTTATGCTTAGACAGTATCCTGGTATATCAAAGAAGAATGATAATTTAAATATTTTCATAATTTCTTTCATTTTCTTCAACTATTCATTTTAATCAAAATATGGTGAAAAAATTTTAATTTGATAAAAATAAAACAAAATTTCCAGAATTCCTTTTGAATGAAAAGATAAAATTAACAGGTAATTTTAAAATAAAAGATTGGAAGCTTATCTTACCATACGAGCTGATGCCATGGCTAAACGTAATTAGATCACAGGCGCACTGAGACTGATTTCGTTTGGCACCCGCGGAGCTTTTTATATGAAAAGTGGAAGCTGATATCCCCTCACTCATGAGATCGGCGCCCAATGATGCATTTTTTTTCATACGGACGCGTGCACACACACGCGCCCGCCGAAAATAAATTAATTCCCATCCACTTACTTACGTAGTTACTCGCTCTGCTGGTTAGCCGCAGTTAAATCGACCAATCGATCCGCGAGTTTCTAAAATATTCGCCTCCAATATATATAAATATCTAATGATTATCATATTAGAAGCAACGTGCGGTGTTTGTGTTTGGGTAGTGCAGCTGTCACTTTTGCGCTGCGTTTCTCTGTCATTATGAAAAATGAGCTATGCAGAAAAATTGCGGTGTGTTTGGATTTATTATGTGGAAGAAATTAATGCGAACACGTATCACTGTCGGGAGAGTTTTTATTGCTTCTGTGCATTTATCAACTTCATTAACGAAGCGTTAAAGTATTCCGTTTGGATTTCTCCTAAAAAAGAGCGGTGATATGATTTCGCGGCGAGCGTAATGAGCGACGAGCACACGCGTTTAATCTGTGCAGAGACGCGAAAATGAAAGTCGCGCTGCTGCTTTCTGCTGAGAAATATGAAATGCGTCCAATTAACCGCTGCTGTCGATCAGGAAGGAACTTCCAATTTCTATATACACTTTTTGCAGTCCGCCTCCGCTTGTCAAATAGTTACATGAATTCCACAATTATCGTGTGCAGAACCGAGAAATGTCGGCCGCCGTTTTCTCACTTCACAGATGCTCAGGATTTCGCAATTTCACGCGTATACGTGCGACAAAATGCATTTATTTTACTTCCTGTCTTAATCAACCCATATTGATATTGTTAAAAGACAAGTTTTTATCGATTTTTCATTAGAGCTGTGTGGTAAAACAGGAAATAAAACTCGCCTACGATCTGGATTTAGCACAAGTGAAATTTCAGCATATTAAGTACTTGCTATAATGTTGCTGTAAGTGTGCCAAAATAAAAAAAAAAAATAACTGTTGAATCAAAAATAATAAATTAAAAATGGGCTTGTCGCAACGATGCAAAAAACGCTTCTGAACGCTTCATCAAAATATTATTTAGTGTTTCAAAAGTTTTACTGGTAATATGTTTTTTTCACAATTTTATTCACATTATGTTATATAAAAACCTTAAAAAAATACAAGACAGTGTTGGTTTCAAGGATAAATAATATAGAACAATTTTAGATTGCATTTTTTTATTGGTTTTATTGCCAAATATATAATTCATAATTATTATTAATTGTAATGTTACGATTTGTAAGTAAGTACAATGAAGTCATGAAAGCACTCTTAAAAGATCAAATTTTCACAATTTTCAATCATTTTTTTATTATTAGGAACTCAATTGTATCAGCTTTTATGCTTTTATTTCTTGTTTATTATATTATGTCGAGTTAAATTATATTTTGCTTTAGGTATAATATTATTGAATAGTAAATATGACAAAGCACCTAGCTTATTAAATTAAAACTCATTTCAAAGAAAAAGCGTAATAACAAAATATTGCAACTATAATTTGATGGAAAAATTTTCAGATTCTATTCTAAAATTTATTTCATATTTTTGCTGGAAAAAAATTATGTGTATAGATAAGGTATAATGAAAAAAATATATTAGCGATTTTTTATTACTGACACCATATCAGCCTTTAATTGCTAAAATGTGGCCAAAGAGAAGCAATAAATTAAGACTTTTCTTCATACGTAGATTTTAAATGAAAGGTAATTCAAAACGTCATTATGAAGCTGTATGTTTTCATAAAAATTTTAAACCTGAATCACATTATTTAAATTTCTTTCACTCTACTACTTAGAATTAATGTCCTGTCATTTTAAAACATAAGATTTGATATTTGTTATAGATAGATAATACAAACATGAATAAGTAAGCTGATCAATTAGTAGTTTAATAGCATTGTTTTGCAGTTAAGTATCCTACATTATTATGTATTTTAAAATTAGTTCTTGATTCTAATCTTTACCCCTGATGGTGAGCAGAGGGAAACTCATTTCAGGGTAGTGTTTTGATATAAAAATATATAAATTCTTATTGTTAGAGAGAGACGTGGCAACTGGAGGAGGGCTTCGATGTATGAAGAGACACAGCCGGCTCACTTGCGAGCCCTCGGCGCTGGCTTGTTGGACTTGATGTTGGCGCAGCGGGGGATGTGGCGCTCGGCGGCCCCTTCGCTGAAGCGGCGCGAGCAGTGCGGACACTGGACGTAGTCAGAAGTGTCCATCGGCTTGGGTGGCGGCAGGTCGGACAGTTTTCCACCAGCGTCCATGATCTGCTTCACCATCCGCGCCTGCCGGATCGTCTCGATGAAGTCCTCGTGCTTTTTGCGCCAGTTGCCCTTACTCGCCTCACTCTTTGGTTGTTGCTGAAATGTTGTTCTCGTTTATTTTTTTCTATTTGCGCAGGATAACAGAGTAAGTTTTAAAAATTAACTACAAATGTCTGCCATATTTTTCATTCTGGAAATAATTCAAAATAATGTTTTTCAAAATTTAGATTAATTTACAAAATTGGCAATTTAAAAACAAATATGGATTGGGAGCTTGAAAAAATATAAAAACACTTAATAAATAATGAAAAATTTGGAGAAAAGAAACTCTTTTTGTAATGAGAACCAAGAAAAATATTGAACCTTTTTGGCAGCCACGGCTGGGCCTCGACTCTTCCCGGCACTTTTCACAAAGGTCTCAGCTTCAGTTCCCTGAGTCCTCATCTTGACTGGGTCAAAGGTCTTGCGTTTCTTCTGCTTGGTCTTGCGGCAGATCTCCTCGTGCTTGCCAATCCTGTCATCTGCAAAGCGGCGGCCGCACAAATTGCACTCGGCCATGCCAGGAGGGCATGGTTCTGAGTGCTTGACCGGGGCAGCGGCTCCCGAAGAAGAAGGCGGCGACTTGGTTTTGCTAGCCTGCTGAAGATTCAAATTTGAGATAGAGAACCGTTGTTTTGGGGAGAAATAATTCTTACCTTGAGATCTGCAGAGTAAGGAGGGCTGACAGACTTAGTTGGCGAGGTCACTGGTGAGGCAGCAGCAGTGGGCTGCGGACGAGGTCTCGGTGCCTGGTAAGAGAAACGTTTACTTGACCTTCTCATCTTTCAAAATTTTAAAAACGTCAAGCAGAATTTTAAATCTTCAAAGGCCAACAATGGAGAAGAACAAAAATAGAAATTTTTAATTGTTGTGATTAAATTTGATGTTCTCACCTTTTATGACTAACATTTTTCTCTACGCAGAAATTTCTTGTATTTTAATATTTAACAGAACAACAAGATATTTAAATGAAAAAAAAAATCCAATTTTATTCTAGTGCAAAAACGTAAAAATTAACGAACATGCTTTTCGCTTTTATGTATATTTAAATTTACGAATTTTCTTGACTATTGTACCTAAAATAGTTGCAAAAAATAGAGATGTTAAAGTTTCAAATGCACAGTATTATTTGCCAATTTTAATTAGACTCATAAAATGAAGGAAAACGTTTCCGTGTAATTTCATTTATATACTCAAATTTTGAATGATAATTGAAATAGCGTTCTTACCTCAACTCTTTTAGCAGGCGCTACTTTTATTTTCGGTTCGCCCAGTGCCTTGACCACAGGTTTCTTGGAGACCACTTGCTGCTGACTATTCTCCGTGTCTGGGGCCAGTCCATTACGGGCGCCTACATTTGACAATCTTCCAAAGGCCGTGCCGCCGTTGCTCGAATCTTGCAAGGGTCCGCGGTTGTTGGTCTTGACAGCTGGACGCATGGAAACGGGTGCCTGTTGGCTCGATGTGCGCTGCGCCGGGGCCTTCAGAGGAGCTCTGGCGGGCCCAGTTTTGGGTTTGAGTGGGTCCAAGGGGTAGCTACGGTCCCAGCCGATGGGCATCGACTTAGACTCGCTCAAGTGGGACCGTGTGCTGCTCATCGAGGACATCGAAGACGACAGCGAGTGCATGGAGCGCCGCTCCTCAAAAAGTTGACGAACTTTGCCTGCATTTTTTTTATTTATTTTTTCTTCATTAACAAAAGAGAAAAACAATTTGCAAAAACTTCTGTAAATATATTATTGAGAAAAAATATTGATATTTTTTACGACAAATAAAAGAATGCTTTAAAAAATAGTTTGAACTTTGAATGTTTTAATTTTAAGTAAATTAAAAAATCCTCTCATAGAGATGAATTCCGTTTTCCATTAAATTCTCCATCAATATAATTTTAATATTTACTATTTGTTTCAGAAAATATGAATCAAATATGTAATAAATAACATTAAAATTTAATTTTTAATTTGAACTATTTTTAATAATGAAAATCTCACCTGTGGAATTAGTGGAAGACCCTGAGCCTGAAGAAGTGTTTGAACCAGCACTTCCACGGCCACTAACTCTTTGGATTGTTCTTTGCTGTTGATCTTCAAGCATCTGAAGCAGTTTCTGTTCCTTTTCGAGCAGCTGCCTGTGTTGGAATCTAGCCTGAAAATTGCAACATAAATTTTGCATATTAAAATTGGAAATCGTAGAAAAATTAATAAAAATTTACTCATTATATGATCATTGATTGTCAAGGACAAGCTTTCTATTTCAAGAATATCATTGAATGAATAGTAAATTATTGAATTAATATTGAGGAGAAACCTGCACATTAGCTTCTAATCGGCATGATGAGAGCTTTCAGTCTAATTCACGCATATGGGAAAAGCTCAATCTGCGTGCGTCACCGGTAAACAAAATTCCAAGTTTCGTTGTCATGGTGACGGGTGATTTAAATCGGGTGGAGTTTTTAAGTAATTACACTCATATCAAGCGCAATGAATTTTATTTAAGAGTAACCATAAAGTTTAACAATTAAGTTGATAAATAGGTCTGCATATTTGTCTAAAATGTTGCGATAAAAATTGATAATGAGGTTTGCAAACTGTTAAACAATATTAAGCTTTTTCTCACTCCTTCCCCTTTTTATTGCGTGGCATTCACTTCACGTTTCACCCCAAAATGCCAATGACCGACAAACAAAAGGACCCTTTTATGGCGAAATGAAAAGAGGAACAAATACTAAAAATCCCGTTTGATGTAGCATTCACTATTTTATGAATGTTCTCCCAAAATAGAACATCCTTTGTGTCACTTTTCCTCTAGCTTTTATGATCGACCCAATGAATGTTTTGGTGTTTAATAAAAAAAAGGGTATTACAAAAAAATGATTTTTAGATAAAGTTGAACTCAAAATATATAATTTGAAAAAAATAATAGGTGGTGCCTTCTGCACCAGTAATTAAGGGCACAGGCCGACAAGACTTTTGTCTTAGACCTGACCCTAAAAACAGCTATTTTTGTAAGTGTATCGCTAAAAAATGCTGCAAATTGTCCTATTTATTAATATTTTAAAATAATTTATAATTAAATATACACTATGAATGATATTATGTAATTGCAAAAACATCAATTTTTATTAGATATTTACATTTTCCTAGTAAAAATTTATGTGGCAATATTTTAAGAATTAAATATAAATATGCCATATTATATTATTCAAATGGCAATTACATGATAGAATTCTTGTAGGAGAGTTAAAAATAATTTTTCAAAATTAAATTCATATTTGAAGATAGATGTCCAATCTTAAGTTATTTAAGAATAAAAAAAAATTCAACCGAGTACTGACTTTGGGGATTTCAAGGTGCGGGGACGGTGAGCAGGGCAGCGAAATAGACGCGCGTCTCGCATACTCTGGCTGGAAAGACAGCACGTCGGGGGTGAATCCAAAACTAGCATCGCTTGACGACAAGTCCCACGAACTGTTGAAGGACCGATCCGCCGGCACGGCCGGCGTGATCTTAATTTCCGTGTCGTGCATCGGTGCACCCAGTTTTTTGTTCAACAAACTACGTCTTAAACTAATCCTCTTCCTGAGGTGACTTTTTCGCATGCACTAACTAAACGCATATTCGTCGCATTTGTGGAAATTAACAAATAATTTCCTGAGAAAAAAAACTTTTAAATTGAGCACCACTGTTGTTTGTCCAAGGGGTTGTCACAAACTGACGAAATTACCGTTTCGAAAAAGGGTGGCGCATTTGAATCAACACGCGTAAAGTGCATTATAGTCAACGCAAAAATAGCATTTTTAATGGCGATTCCAGCAAAGATAACTCGCGGGTGATATTACTCGGAGCCTCGTCAATGTCATGAGTTGTTAATTTTCCACCCCGCGGGTCGATAACAGGAAACGTGCGCCATGCTAAGTGGGAGAGAGAGACAGACAATTTCATAACAATAATAATTATCATTGTTCCGCGATGCGTGCAAGAGCGACACACGCACTTTGGGAAAAAACATACTGCGAGGCAGCAGACGCCTTTTTTGTTGTTTTTTGTACACTCGTCTGCGGTCTATGCTAGTTTTTGAACTCAATAATCTCTTGCTCAATGCATTTGTTCAATATTTTTTCATTGAAATTACATTCATATAATGCCACTTTATTTTTTGAACCTATTAAATTCTTTTTTATAATATTGCTAAATGTCGCATAAATTACGGAATATTCTATTAAAATAGAATATTCAACGAGCACTCCTCATTGCAATAGTTTTGTTAGTGTTGGTCATAAAAGAGCTGTTGCATTATAAATTTTTTTCAGTTTCACAAGACGCGCTATGAAGACATCAACAAAGATTCCAAAATATGCGCGTTTTTTATAAATTTCCAAATTTTCTTTAAACTAACTTTTGAATTTCAAAATATTTGCCTGCATTTGTATGCTTCAAAAAATTACAATTATCTCTATGCATTATACCCAAATATAATATTATAGGTTTTCTGAAAATATGGAACATTCATTGTAAAATACAAAAATATTAAATACAGTGAAATAATTATTTGTTAAAATTTTTACTGCCATAAAAAAGCAAAAGCAAAAATTTTCATTGTATCTTGGATTGAATTAGAATCTTCTTGGGACATCTGGCTTAAAGAATATGTAAATTCTGAACGTTTTATGTGCATAAAATTTTAATCAAATATACTATATTATTATTTAAAATATATATATAAATGTACATCAAATATTAGTATCGCTATCTAAAATCCTATTGGTTTCCGAAAATAAAAAATATACAAGTTAAATTTCAAATAAATTATTTGTTGTTGGTTATAATTTGGTTGTCAATCTGAAAACCCAATACATCACACCGATTTGAAGGCCAAACACGGAAAACGCAAGTTAGTTTCAACAGCAGAATGGCCTGGAGGATCGATAAGTGAAAATTACTGCGTGAATGTAGTTTCTGCTTGTGGCCGCGTCCCAACTTCTTGCCGCCCACGACACGCCAAGCGCCACGGACACAACCTCGGCCATCGCTGGGTCCGAGCTTCGGACACCACCGTTGGACAGGCTGTCCACGATGCGCTGCCAACCGGCCATTCAGCCGCACTCCATCACCACTGACCGCAAGAACGGCGTCGTTTGTGGCGTCATAAAAGAAACACCAGCAGTGGGCAGCAGAGTGACCAAAGTGACGTCACTCTGGTCACGCAAACACCCTTCCACAATATCGAGCGCCTGGTCAAATGAATGATAGGGGCTGTGCACAGCTCAAGATCGAGGACACATTTGCACAATGCGGCGGACATGCGAATAATCTGATTGCACTAGACGAGAAAGGCTGAACTCATTTTGATCATTACTTATTCCAACACATATTAATTTAAAAGCCTTCTATGCGCCAAATTGAAGTGCATGTGCATAAAGTGCTTAAATTAATTTTCAAATTAGACTTTTCAATACAATTTGTGACATCTTTTAGAACAGTTTAAATAAGAAGCATAAAATTGATTGTTTACATAATTACAAAGAAAACTTTTTATTGAGAACAAAAGCAATACTTTTTTTTTACACAAATGTATAAATATTCTGTCTCCTAGAAATCAAAATTAAAATCTAATCTTATACCATATTAAAACTTCTTATCACCTTCAATTAAGTAATGTGTTATGATACAGAATAATTATATTTATATTAATAATACAATAAAAATTAAAAAAGCAGTTCATTTTAATGTGGTTTATTTTTGGATACTTTAAATTCATGCAGATTTATTACTAGAATAATTGAATGAAAAGTAATTTCATCACAACAAAATCTTATATGTAAATTATCACCACCGAATGGTGACAAAAGTCATTTTTTTTATGTCATTTCCTTAAGAACCTTCTGGTTACGAGTCAAGGCTTTATTGTGTTCAGTCAGTAAAGGTCTTGGCGAATGTTATTTTCAATATCACGGTCGCCGCACTCTCTCCGCGCGTCTATAAAGCCGCCGTCAAATTCGTTGTGAGTTGTGAGAATGTTTGTGTAACAACTCTCATTCTCACCGCAGATGTATCGACGCGCTTCACTTGGCAGAAAAGATTTCTCCAAAATGAAGCTACTCTTATTTGGGTCCACGTCCGCATAATTGATCATAATAGCGAGCGGCCAAAATATTTTTACGTCAAAGATCAGATTGGAGCATAATTACTGTAATTTTCGGCCATTCACCGCCGGACTAGAAATTGATAGCATAATAATCCTTCCCAATTAGCAGGTTATAATTTTTAACGTCTTTGTTTGTTGACTGCAGCTAACTGAATTAATTAATTATGAAAACAACTTTCACGAGAGTTTCACGCTTAAGTCCAAATTTTCACAGATTCATAATATATTGTCACTCTTAAAAATTAGAATTTTCATTCTAGTAAAAATTTGCGAACAGCCAATTTTTTGACCCGCAACAACCGCAGCAAAATTCTTTGTGCTCCGTGAATTGAAAATAAATTAAGTGAGCTAGCAGAGCGGAATACACAAGTGACACGAGGATAACTAATGGGTCTGCGGCTCGATCTATTGTCGTCGTTTTCACACTCCCGACTTGCACCTTTATGTGCGAAAATCCGCGAAAACCATCATTAATTTTCCGTCGAAAGGGTGAAGAACCGAGGCCGTGAGGGTGCAATGACTCTTACTTGCTTATAAGAATTGATCTCTGCCTAAAGCGGCGAGTTCGAGAGCGATCGCGCCCAGGAGGTCGCATGTCCTTATAAGAGCAAGCCCTGAGTGACTCATTCACCTGACGGTGCTGGAAGGTGAAACTACTGCAGTGGCGCCAAGGCCGAATCTCTGGCCGTAATATAAAATATTGGCTGATTTGCACCAGCTTACCTGGATTGTGCTGCTGCTGCTGATTATCAGAAAATAAAATTTTTGCTAAAAAACAATGCAATATTATGTTGCGTCCAAACAAATTTTTCGATCAAGTGAATGTAAACAATGTGATGCAACAATTTTGACAAATAAACATTAATTATAATAAAAGATTCCTTGTTTTGGGGCCCAGATACATTACAACATTACTGACAGAGCTCTCTTCTGATTTAATTAAAAATGACTGTTATTTCCGTTCAATTTTTGTGACACTTAAAATTAACCAAAGAAGATTAATTTTTGTGAAGTAAATTTTTTAATCTGCAATAACAATTTTTTTCTGTTTAATCTATGAGATTTTAATCTTCAGCAATTGTTTTAATAACCCCATAATTAATATTTTCCTAACAAATCTTTCATTTAATTACACTTTAAAATAATATTCTCCAAGCAGATCTTTAAGTCCGTGAAGAAAACTTAGCTTAGTTTTTTTTCATTATTTATCGCATAGAGAAAGTCATTTAAAGTAAAATCTGAATAATTTTAATAATAATAAAAAAAAAAACAACAAAGAAAGCAGATGCGAATCGATTGTTTCACTCCACTTCCTGCTGTAAGCCACCAAGTAATGTGTGTATGTTTTCATTTTTGCATCGTCTGCGAGTGAAATTAATTAACAAAATGTATACGCCTTTGCCCAGCTAGAGCGCAAAGGTGGTGCCGCCAGACCTGCACCGCCTCACCTAAATTTGTCGGCGTTTCTCGCTTGGCTCACTCTCACCCACTTTTATGTAATTAATTTAATTAACGGCGGCATCGCTCATCGCACCAACTATCCAATTAAGAATGTTTGTGCTGTTTGTTCGCGATGAAATAAAAAATTATATGTTCTTTCAAGAGCCAATTGAAAGAGATTAATAGTGCAGAAATTGGAGCCAGCACAAAAATAAACTTACTTAGCGATAAGAAAACTTTCTGCTTCTGCTGAAGAGCAATTAAAAAGAAAGAATGATACTAGAGAATTGAACAAATGAAGTGAAATTTTTAATGGAATTCATGTTTTAGAATCAGCGCTTTCAAAAGATTTATTTTTCAGAAGTAATTCTTTTTCCTTTTCTAATTGATGTAAAAATTTTAAAAAAATTAAAGCTACGATGAGCAGACAAAATGTCAAAACATGCACTCCAACAAAAAAACAAAAAATACATTCCAGGGGATTTGCTGCAGCGGATTTTCTTCTTGCCTAAACGCATGCATTTCATGCATTCTGCTTGTGCACAGTCAGTTTTGTGCGTGTCAAGCATCTAACTATTTCACCACACCAAATTCTTAAAATACGCGTACAAATAAATAGATTAGATACAATCACAATCCAATGAAATATTGTCAATTTTTCAGAATAATTCTCTTTTAAGGAACTTCACATCTTTAATTCATGTTTTATGGAGTTTAATTTAACTTCTAAAGTATCAAAGTATTACCTTTACATTATATCAGAAATGATGGGAATATTTGTTTGTTCAAATAAAAAAATTGATCAGGGTTTGGTTTATGGTTCATCATTTTACTTGGATAATAAAAGTATTTATGTTTATGATTTATAATTTTACATTCTTTCGTTAAAAAATTCCGACTGACCTGCATTTGGGTGAGCCGCGAGACTGGTGGGTGTGCCGGCGCCGGGGGTTCCATAAGGACAGTGAAGGGCGGCGAGTGATGCAGAAGTGAGGCCATCGCTGCTGTCTGCAAACGAGTAAAAAATTAACCAGACGTCATGCAAATCCGGCTAATTTAGCTTGGTATAAAATTACACACCAGCATATATACCGCTTACAATTGGAGCGCCAAGGAGGGTTCAAGGGAATATGATCGTTTTTTCAATTCATGAGTTATTTTTTTATTGTGCCAATCTTTGAGGGAGTAGTGGTGCTTATAAATAATTTAGTGTTGTTTTCGTGTGCTAATTTTGTCGCGGTAATTTGTTTACTGATTGTGGGCGCGGCAGCGTGCGCGGATGTGTCGTGAAAAATTGGAGTAGCTTTGGGCGGCGCGCGACAATTGCTCGTCGCTCATTAATTGACGCCGTCCACGCCATCCTTATTCAACCAAGGACGCTGATTTCCACCGACAGAAGTAGACCACACACGTGTATTCTACTATGCAGCTAATTAAATACAGGCACCTCTGTCCGATTCAAGATTAACGATCAACACAATAATTCATTAGCATTCATTATCAACTAAAGGGGGCCAATAAACAAAGCTAATAAAATAGAGGTCTTCTATGAATTTAAATTATTCACAAAAGGAATTATCATAAACTGGAAAAGCAACGTATTCTTTTTTCAATATACAAGAGCCAGAAAAAATATTAATCAATTTTAATTATTTAAAAATTTATTTTTTCAATGAATAAAAAAATAAGTCCCAAAAAGAGTGACAAAAGTAAATGGGATCATTTTTACAATTGAAAAAACTTAAACTGAACAATGCTTCAAAATCACTAAATATAGGCTTATCCCGGGAAAAATTAATATTCTAGAATAATTAAACATAATTCTTGCAAAATAATCAGCAGTTTTTTTCTCTACATGTTTTGAAGTAAATTTAAGATGGATTTAAACGCCAGCCGTTTATTTTAACAAATTTACGACCTCAATCATAATGAAGAAAGATACAATTAAATAAATATTTTTTTTATAAAATTTACCCTCATTTATCAAGGGAACAAAGTTCCGCAAAATTTAAAAATTTATGGATTTAGGATTTGGCAAGCAAACGTGATGTGCACAATATAAGATATCCCTGACCGCAGAAAACAAAAAACAAAAGAGTCGCTGATAGGCCGTCTGACTGGGTTTCCTGAATGATATTAACCTAAATCTGATAAGAAATATCAAAAGCCGCCCTTCCGCTGCATACACTCGGCAACTTTACTCTGTTTCTAACGCACTTTGCAATACATTAATTTCCCACCTAAATTGATTTCCGTCTAAACAGAAAGAACTTTGATTATGATGACCTTAAGGATTACAGAATATTTTCGACTGTGGCCAATTCTTGCGAACTGACCGATGACGTTATTATGGCTATCTACTGCACGCAAGGCAAACAATTTGATTTGCATACTTTATGCATATCAACACCCCTTAACACACATTCGGATAAGTAATTGCGATCGAATTGCTGTACTGTGTTTGCCTTACGCAAGATTGTAAACACAAATTTCGACCCGATTATCGTGGATCTGGGTCACAAGGGAAAAAATTCAGCCAGCCCTAATGCGTCTCAGAGAGTTATTTCCTGATTCTAGAAAGCCGATAGGCTGCACTTTTTATAGTTTTGTACATGCAGGTAGATTGCCCTGATAATGTCCATCGAACTTGAACTGAAACGTGATATGAATCGCGCGCTTTTATTTTAACGACTATATTCCTCAATTCATTCGCGTTTGAAGATGCAGGTTTTGCCAACCTTGATCTCCATTGCAAAAAAAATAAACCCCCTCCCCCCGATATTTTCAACTAAATATTATATATTTGTAAACAGTAAACGTTGGAGGTAAAATAAGAAATTTATAAAATAAATTATAAACAATTTATCACTTACAAATATGTTCCGTCAATTAAAAATTTGCATGAATTAAAAATATTATTCCTACTATGATATTTTTCCATCCGGTTTCTTGGAATAAAAAAAAAATATTGCAAGGTGTGTTTGTGTCACGCCAATTCAGGTAAATGCGTAATGATGTCAGAGTTGCGCGCTTGTTATGACGCATCGATTGAGGAAAGGAAGTTTGCAGTGTCTGCGGCACCTGAAGCGCCCGTCATAAATTTGATTTAACACCATTTGGTCTTTTGTTATGTACAGTACATCCTCTCTGAGTAATCGTTTCAGGGACAATATATTATTAACTTTCAGGCCAGTGCGCACAACAGGATTGGAAATTTCACTCTGTAAGGATGGAGGTTATTGTAGGAACTGGATAAAATTGGAATTTATTAATAATTTAAAGAATTAAATCAGGGATAAAATAAAGAGCCAAAGTGATAAGGAAAAATGTATTTTTTAACACGAGAGAGCAATCAAAATAAAGTTTTTTTGGTAAATATAAAAAATATTAGATAATTATGAAATATGAATTGTTATTACTTTTATTAGGTAAAAGCAATTTAAGCCGGTGCAAAATTTCTTCCGAGATGAAAATATTTTTATGTAAATATCAGATGTACCTAAATTATTGAAAACTTAACTAAATAATACGTAAATTTTAAATCAGTTTTACATTATTGGGAATTACAGGAGAAAATAGCACAAGTTTTTTTCAACTGAAGCTTGATCTGCAGTTAAATTATCTTAATTCACATAATGAGTAAAAACGAAAACTATAAGAGAAAAAGAAATTGGTTTAGTCTTGCGGTGGATGAAAGGTGGACCTATTTCAATAATTAAGTACTATTAAGGGTTAAACGTCTTTAAACCATAATTATAAACATAATATCCAATTTTAAATAAAAATAATTTATAAAATGCAGCTGCAGCATTTTAGAATTCCAAAGCAGAGGCGTTCCAAGAGCAAACCAGTATATTAGTATGAATTTTCAGAGAAAAATCTAAATACCTGTTCGAGTGGGTCTCGTGGACAGACAGGACGCTGAGATGAGCGTGGTGTGTTCGGCGCAGCAAACTCAACTAGTAGTTTTATCCCGGCAGACAGTCAGTCACTGTTACTTTTATGCACTGGTGCACACACGAGAAGTAATCCCTAAAGAACAGAGTGCACGAAAGGAAGCCAGCAGCGGAGGCCGCGGAAGAAACGGCGAGAATGGCAATAGCAGCCGAGCCAGCGCTCTCGGGCCGGCCAGGCGCACACCACGTTCAAGGTGTTTTTTTCTTGAGCACCGTCGCGCCCTCCTACGCAAGGCGATTACGCGAGGTGGACTGACGCTCGGGTCGGCACATTGTGCCGTGACAGACCAAACCCGTGCATTACGAAATTGGTTTGTGTGTCATTATTACACACAATTAGTGCACCTCTCTTCTTGGCGATCGATAATATTAATGAGGTGTTTTGATTAAAACGATGATATAATTAGCTGAAATTAAAATAAGTTACTATGTATAAAATATCAGTTAATATTTTAAATATGGAAAGAAATTATTGCAATTAATTTTATCAAAATGAAAATATAACTCGCTTTGCGCGGATGTTTCTATGGCTCATAATTACAGGAGAGGTATTTTTTGTGTGTTTTACTTCGTAGTATTTTTCTACTTCAAAGTTTTACTAATTTTTATGTTTTAATGTATTACTTTTTTTAAATTTTGAAAAAAAATATATTTAAATAAAAAATAAAGGGATGAAAAAAAATGAGCTGTCTCTGAAAGCTATGAATGAAATATATTTTTGATAACTTAGACATAGACTTATTTATTTTAAACCATGGATTCAAGTAATCGATAAATTTTATCATTTCATAGATATTTCAAAATTGATCAGCCTCAAAAAAATTATTAACTTGTAATTTTAGCCCCACATCAAATGACACTAAATGCGGTAAAACCATCTGGAAAACAATTTGAACTCGATTAACCCCATTATTAAAAACGAGGGTGGTCTTGAAAAAAAGCAATCGATGTCTGGTCAATTATATTCCGTCTAAAGCAGGTCACCTGGATCCAATAATGAATATCAGAGGAGGTGCGAGCTTTGTTATATGTGTTGGAGAATATATAGCGTGATCCGCGCCCAGACTGATACACGACCCCCTTCGCGCCTTTGTGATTCAGACAATATGCTTTTATATGAATGCATTGCAAGGAGGGCAAATAAAAATCACGTTGCTTTGTATAGTACCATCTCTGGGAGCTCTAATTAAGTCTCGTTGCACGCGCTTGCACATTTTAATTAACCCCCGCGGCGTGTGCTGTTTTTATTTGTTACTGTAGCAAAATAACAATTCATATTAGGTCAGATGTTGGATGTTATTGATGTAAATAATTATTTATACTAGAAAAATAAATTTTTCGAAAACAAATTTTCCCTATATTATTTTAGTAATATTTGAAATTGATATTATTTACATTAACATAAAAAATATAAAGTTATAATTATATATTTACCTTTGAAATAAAATTATTCCTTTCAAATTTAGTATTTAAGAGCTTGAAAATTACAATTTAGAGAAAAATATTTGTTCAAAACTATGTTGGAAAATGAAATTTTCTTAATCTTTGGATTTTTTTATATCATATGTTTTCCCCCTTTTTTGAATGCCTGAATTGATGCTTCATAATGAACTTGCTTGTCCTTGACAATTTCTTGCGAATACTGCACACAAAAATCAATGAGAGCATGACCAATACTAAAGAAGACTGTATCGATCTATGTCGCATTTATTATACCCGGCAAAAAAGTCGATGAAAAATATTCTCAATTGTACAAAATTCACATTTGAAAGTACTTCACAATTACTGGAAACTTTTAAATGAAATAGTTATTTTCACCATTTTCACATTATTTTACCTTGTGACGAGAAGTTGCCAAGAAACGGTGATGGCCGTGGTGCTGAAAGAGGACTGCCGAGTATAGTGGAACTCAAAGGCAGACACCGAGGTAGTTTGCCCACGCATTGACATCCCACATTGAACCACCTTGCCAGCAACCCATTTACCGCCCTTTCCTTTCATTGTGAATCGACTAATATGGCAATAATCACAAAATCAGCTGCAATGTAAATTGGCATTATGTTATAAAAAGATTTTCACTTCCAAAAAAATTATATTGTAACAGAAACAAAATAAAAAATGATGCCAAAAAAGTAAAGAGTAAGAAAATTGTATGTATTAATGTGGCAATAAAAATCGTGTGTAATATGGATAATTTGGGATATTCCAATCTCATAAAAGTTTATTTAATTTGGATGATGTGGGCTAAGTTGCCAGTTGCCCTGATCGTAAACCCAGTAAAATTTCCTTTGCTTCTATAAAGGGTCGACCAAATTTTAATTTTGAAAAATAGCAAAAAATAGAACTATCAAAGAGTGTTTTCAGTTTTTTTTAACCTTTTCTCTTAGTTCAATTAAAGATTGAAAAGGATAAAAGTGGATATGAGTGGATAGAATCAGATGGAAGAAAGTTTCACTGATTAAATTCTCATAATTTGTAACAGGTGTAAAGTGAGCTACATTAATTTCATAAAATTACAAAGTCACAGTGATAGTTAAAAGTAAAGTGGAGTTTTATTTGTCATATCTTTAGAAAAATTAGATTTTATCAATTAATTTCATCCTTTGGATTTCGAATTACAACCATATAGCCAACAATAAAGTGGCAATAAAATTTTACAATGTAAGCATAATTATTATTATGATTTTAGTTGAATCTAACTGGTTTTTAATATATCGACAAAGTCTCAAATTTTCTGTGTAATTTTAAAAATTCAAACCACAAATCAAAATGCAGGACACGGATCATTGGATAACAATTATTACCCAATATTTTTCAAATAAAGGCGAGAGAAAATTTAGTAGTTTTTTATGAACAAAGACAACTGTAGCTCTGTGTTTATCATAATTTTCTCTCCACCACTCTCCGCTAAGCAATTTGGATTTCATCTTAAAATATATTAAAACTGATAGTGCAGTGGAATTTTAAGGTATTAAAATGCATAAAATATCGGAGATTTGGACGGTTTAAAAATTTACAATAAGTGATGAATGTTAATTCAGTTCATGTTGATTTATGGACATGGCTGCACTTGTGCATGCTCGTCAATGTCATCTAAATGCAGATAATTAAACCCACAACTTGTCTATGGGTTGATCAGCAACATTTTTAATTGTGCTGATTGCGTCACGCAGTAGAATTCCATGGAGATCTTCGATAGTTTTATCAGCGTCAATTTCCTATTTAAAAAACCATTTTAATACTTTGTGAAAACTGACCCGACTTTTAACTGACCTTAAAGGTTTTGTCTTTCAGTGCCTGGTAATTCTGCCATACTTTGCTGAGGAAACTGTGATTTTCATATCGCTCCTCTCCGAAACCCGGTCTTTCATTCAAAGAGTCTCGGCCCATGTGCAGCAAAAAGACAAGGTCAGGTTTTGGAAGGCCGACGTCAGCCTGTCTACACCAGTCTAGGCTCATGCCCTGATGAAATGATATTCTTTATAAAATTACAGTTAGGAAAAAAACAGTATTACGTCTTTGGCTGCCGAGTAAGCGACTCCAGAGAAGGCATATCTGTCCACAACAAGAGTAGTTCCGCAGTTCAACAGCTTGCGCATTCGCGACCTGATAAAATAATTCAGAATAAATTTAAAAATTCACATATCGCAAAGCGCTATGGATCAAATGCTTGCGTGGATCCAATAAAATGTACGTTTCAAATGAAATTTAAAACTCACTCGAGCTCCCATCTGTTTCCGGAGAATAGAAGGTGGATTGCTTTGTCATTCACATCTTCCTTATTGGCAAGGTAGTCATTAATCACGCCACCGATTCTGGTGCTTCTGTCTACCAAAAAATATATCATAATTATACAAAATTATATATTCAAAACAAAAATATAAAAATATGTATTATTTACAGTATTATGTAATTTTCAACGCTTTTATAACTTTGAAAAAACAAAATGTTCACAGGATTTTTTATAACTTTCATAATATACTCTTCAGAAAGTTTGTAATTAATACCTGGGAATGGAAAATGCTGAGCCGGAAAATTGAGCTCTGATAGAGTTTTTGCCAGCAATTTGCTTTGCGTGGTTTTGCCAACGCGGTCACATCCTTCCAACACGATGAGGGCTCCTCTCTTCATTGTGTTCGTTTGCATTTTCGGCTGCTGATTTTGTCTAGAGTTCTTGCCTATTTAAAATTAGAAGGCTTGACAGACCTAAACTCTGCAAGAATAGGCAGCACAAAATTAGAGGGCACCGCTTAGCTCCGTCTTGTTGTTCTGTTCATATCAGATCAGAGATCAGATTATACCAGATTTGCCAAAAGATGTGAACAGCGCGCGCAAGTTGCTCGCGAGTCAGCTGGCAAGAAATTGCGAGTAGTGTGTTTGTTAAGGAGTTACAAATTACTTTGCCTAAAAACATTTAAATAAAAATTTAAACTTTTAGTAAATAAAATTTATCGATCCGTGGTAACTCATTGTTTAAAGTTCCTTTGCATAGATCAGTTAAATTAAATTACTTTCAATGTAAATGAAATTATCCTGAAGATTGGTAAATATCGGTGGAAAACCCCACTCGTCCTTCTTCTAAACAAAAAGCACACATGCGATTTTTTTGTAATTTTTATTTTTTATTTTTTTTTCCTCGAGCAAGTGGCAGTGTGCAAAAAAATTAACTGCCAGATGCCAGAGGTTGACTGCGTTGTTGTATGTATATAGGTGTGGTGTGGGTTGGCTGCTGTAAAGAGAAAAGCAACTCGAAGATTGCGAGGAAAGGCTACGCCGGGCCGGAGACACCAGACACGCTAAAATCTTGATCTTGAAGTTCGTTCGCAACAAGAGTCGTTCGTCTGACGCCGCCAGCCGCAGCAAGAAAGCCAAGAAATCTGGTAAGTAATAAGTCTTTTAAGTTTGTTTAGGCCTGGAATTTTTTACTTAGATTACAGTCAAATGAAAATCTATTAAGAATTTTCGATTGTAATACATAAATTGAGATTAAGTTAGAGCAGAGCCAGATAAAAGGTAGTACATAATGATGTTTTACGTCAAAATTTGATTTTGTTGACGTTGACATAGAAAAGAAAATCTGTGGACGAGATACGATAGTCAATAATATACGTCTCGACAAACCATGTACACAAAATAAAAAAAGTACATAATTATATTAACACACATATTCAGAATAGCTAATAATTATTTTAATAATTGATTATTAAAAAAGAAAAAAAAATAGAAATTACCATATAAAGATTGAGAGCTTGCCCTCTGTATGCTCAATAATGGCAATAATTAAGTTCTATGAAACATGAAAAAATTAAAAGAAATCTTGCATTCTTTTTGTTTTAAATTTTCTCCAGCATTGGAACTTCGAATATAAATGTTTATAAACATATAAACTAGTTATTTAATTTTCCATTAAAATCACACTTCACCATGATATAATCACAATTTTTTTTTTTTTTTTTTTTTTGCTTTATAATTCATAATTTTTAAGGGCAGTCAACAAAATTTCCGCTTCATTCATAATAATTTATTTATTATTTAACTTATGTAAATCACAAAGCATTGAACATTTGTTGAGCATCACAAAGAAGTCCTTGTCACCAATTTAAAAGATTCATCTTGTTGTTGCAACCGAGCCAATTTCCCTGAAAGTTTGTGACCGTGCCTGGCCGCCTTGTGAGCTGTTCGACCGCCGCAAGCTTTGAAAAGCTGCTCGTCCGACAGGGGTACAAATTCCTTGGCCTTTTCTTCTTCAGTCACGTCCAATTGATTACTTCTCTCTTTAGATTCCACCTCTTCGTTGTCCTCCAGTACCGATGATTTCACAAAATTGCTGTAGATTTTCTTTACTGGTTCCTCCTTCGCCTTCTTCTTTGCTTTCTTTTTCACAGTTTTGACCTTAAAAATTCAGCAAGGAGTTAATGTTTATTTCAAATTAATTGGATTAAAATTTCACCTTAACAGAGTCTTTGGCGTCGTTCACGCTGATTTCCACATTCTGTGCTGCTTTGTCGTACGCCTTATTCCACCAATTGTTGGTAAATTCCTCGGCCGGGTCAGCTCCGAGTCCCATTCGGTCCCTTTTCAGTCCTGGCCTGATTGCTTTTGATATACCTGTCTTCTGTGCACCAAGTCCCTCGCCCTCTTTCCAGCCGTATTTTTCTAGCTGCGCTTTCGCAAAGTCCATGTTTTTATTTAAGTGAATACTTTTCAAAGGAAAAGAGGTTGGAAAAGAGGACCCTGTATTAGGAGAGCGCCATGCGTTTTTTGTTTATGTCTGATGACATGCGCAGCAGGCATGCCAACCACATTTTATACTTGATGATGCCAACTTCACCAAGCAACCAAGAAGAACTTCTTGCAAGCAACTTCACTTGAAAATTACTGCCAACAAAGAGAGAGCTCCCGCGTCGTGGCAGCGAACTATATTATTGAATTTTACTGATTTTGAAAGTTTTTAATATTAAACTATTTATTTCAGTAATCTCTAGTTTTTACAGTTATTTCTAAAAGAATATAAATATATTTTATAAACTTTTAAATTTACTGAAAATGTCAAACAAAAAATAATTTGCTTTAAATTTTTAATTTGTTTTACAAAACGGAAAATATTTACCAGTACATTATAAAAATTTTAAATTTTATTCAGTATTTACCAGAAATCTTTTATTTATATAAGCCAAGCTGTTAATTCCTAATTACTTTATCACAATTTTTATCATGGCTTATTTTTTATCACCATTGCGATCAATTGTGATAAGACTTCTACACAGTTTCAACTTATTTTTGTGATAAAGTTCAATAATGATGATTTCCTTGCAGTAGTGCACACAGAGTGAGATTTTTACATTATTTATTCAAATCCAAAAAATAGTTTTTTAGAGTTCATAATAATAATATCCAGATTTATTGAGAGTGTGGTGCATATCTTTCTAACTGGATGAAGGAATAAGGTCAAGGAGATCTTCGGTGCTGCCTGAGTGAGTTTTTTTGTGGGACAGAACATTCATTTCGTTAAAAAGAGCGGCCAGTTCTTGGGTTTGGTCCTGATTCCTTGCGTCTACCACTAAAGCAGGGCTTGCTGGACTTTTGCTTTCGTGCTGATCTTCTGTAGCAAAGCTAAAAAGAAAAACGGGGACTTAAAATATAATCAATTTGATCCTTTTTAATTTTTTCTAATAAATTATTTGCTGCTAGAGTGATTGCAAACACAAAGAACTGTTTTTATCGAATTAAAAGAAAAGAAAATATTTTGGAAAAGGTGGAGATTTACTATAAAGAGCTTCTAACCCTATATTATTTCCACCGTCGCTGTTGAACAAATCCAATAGAATGAAATTTCCGCTCTCAACGCTGTGTGAATTTGAGTCAGAGTGAAGCAACTTGGAGAGCAGGTGCAGCTCTTGGTACCCTACACCTTTTTCTTGGCCTTTTGCCGCACTGCTTTCTGCACAAAGAGGCGAGTTGGTTGCGTGCAGAAAACTGTCCGGGTTGAACGCTCGCTGATCCTCCTGGACAAAAATTGGCTTTTCTTCCATTCTTCTTTCGGCGTGATATCTATAAATTGTTTGATTTAAGAATATTTTCGTTAATATTTTTGGGAAAACTTGCATGTTTAGTCCTAATGTGGTTACATGAGATTTAAATAGCCCCAGAGAACCCGACTCAAGGCAGGCGTCAAACTGGTATGGAGATTTTATAACTTTTTCCGTTTCTAAATTTCCATCGTCAGAAAACGATCTTATTATTACTGGAACTTCGCACCCTGTAACAATTAATTAAAATATTAATCAAATTGAATACTCGTTGAGCCAATAATTATTTTCATTTAAATTAAAGCATAAAATTATACCTGACGCCACAGGACCACTCGTCGGTATAAAAAAGCGTCCATCAGGATTCTGCGACCTATCTTTTAACAAAACTGACACCCTTACAGTGTCATCCTGCAGATAGTTCAAAATGAAATTCCGCAACAACTGTAGTTCCCCATTTTGCATTGTGGCGTAGGTCTGAAAGATTTATATTAATTAATTTTTTTTTTATCTTCTACACTTTTTATTTTTTATTAAACAAATTACTTGGATGAACTTTGTGTGGTAATTCGCAATAAGTCTTGTAATCAAATTTGTCGGCTCTTTTCCAGCCAGCGCCTCCAAATGATTCATCGTTACCAAAAGTAGATCTTGCGGCCTTGATATGGAGTATATCTGATATTTCACGACGCTGATCATTAGATCATATAACTTCAAAAGGTTTCAAGTTAAAAGAGCAATCTTGCAAAGATCAGGTTATCCCTCTATATACCTTATTCATACTGGTTCGGTTTAGTCTCATTATTGATACGTGGGCAAGATTGTCAAAAAGTGTCCTCAGTCCGTGTCTGTTCGACAGTTTTTGCGGCTTAAATAGTTCCTCTACAAATCTTTCGTTGAGCATTGTTGCTACTATATCGTGCAGTACTGGAACAAAATTTACATTTTTTTATCACCATTTTCTCACTTCTGAAAATAATTTGTCAAAACATTGAAAAATGACATTATTGATTAATTTTTGAGATAATTTATTAAAAGGAGTGTACCTTTCCTTGTCTTATCTTCTGCGATTTGCTGTGTGGTGAGTCGGTCTTCAATTATGTACAACATTTCTCCACCCAGGTTGACAAATAGTAGAGGTAACGTTCTGTCGGTCATTTTAGGAATTCGGCGAATTCGATGTTGTGTGTTAAAAAGCTTTTATTTTGTGAGGAAGCACGGTGCGAATTCCACATTCAAATCCTTGGCGCTCTCACTGTTATTTGTGCGGCGGTCGCGGCGGACCTCAAGTTGCGTGACGGGGGTACTTAATTATGCAGGTGCAATGCCCTTTCGGGGTGGCGATAGTTAATAAAATTATTTTTCTCTTTGCTTTCAAACTGAGTAAAAGAAAAGATGTTTTTGGACAAATGATTATTATTTTAAATCAAAATCAAACACAAAAACTTTTATTGAGAGAGAAAACTAAAAAAAAAATTAGAATCATTTATTTGGCTTGAAAAATCTAAATCTGCTCTAAATAATATTTGAATAAATAATATAAAACGTTCTTTCATTTTTTTTTTTACAATCAAAAACTATATGGTAAATATAAATAACATTCAAGTACATATTTGTTCCAGGCTTTTAGCTTTAGCTGATTGAAAAGCATATGCTATGGACCATTTGCCGAAAGTGATCGGTGGAGCTGCTGTCGCCACAGGTAATTTTGTTTTTAATTATGACTCATAAATATAAATAATGTGCAATTATTTTTTCCTACCACACATATAACATATTTGGTGAAGTTTTTATTAATTTATTTTTTATTTCATTTGCACTTATCTTTGTAGCAAGCCTCCTTTTCAATGGCTACATTGCTGAAAATTGGTATGTTGTTGTTACTCTGACTTTCGTAAAAATTTTGTGAAATGCTTAACTGAATTATACTTTGACAGGGTAACTTTGGCCAGCTTTCCAGTTGGTGTATATGTGGGAGAAGTGACCACCAGGATTTTCCTATATGCAAAAACATTCTCCCCAAAGTCGCCCCTGATAGATAAATATTCTCTGTTGGACTTCTTCACATCTAATGAAAAGAATCTTTCATTGGTGGCGCTGCCACTTACTTCTCTATATGCTCTGGTAAAAATGTCAAATTTATTGTCAATACCGGCCAGTTAATACAACATTATTTAATTGTTTTTAATAGCGGCACTGGGAAAGTCAAGGGTTGGCTGTGGCAGTCGGAGCCCTCTCAACCTTTCTAGCTCGAACCCTGCTATTAGTAAGAACAATTTTATTTTTTAATTCTTTATCTGCTCGCAGAGTTTTGCTATGCTGTTTTTGATTTTATTTTTTTATATCTAGAAATCCTCTCCATTGGTCGTCAAACAAATGTTTGGTAGAGATTTGAATGGAATCTACTATGGACCTGCCATTGCATACAGCTATTTTTATGGCTATTTCAAAATCATCCTGTTTCCTCAGGCTGAGGGACAATGTATGCTACATTTTTTAGTTTTAATTTTGTTCATTCTTAACGTGATAAAAAATAGCATTCAAAAACAAAATTGACGACTATATCGAGGCAAACAAAAGTGACACTGGAAAAAAGATTTCCGTTCCAGACAAGCGTCTGCAAATCCTGATTCCTCTTTCTGGTGAATTCATTAGACATTCCAGTTTGGCTGACAACTCTGATGATTGGATTGTTCGAGCCAAAGTGAGTAAATGATATTTAACTTCCTTTGATTATTTTAACCGTGAATTTTTAACTTGTGTTATTTTTAGACTCCTGCCATGGTTGAGGTTGACAGGGGTGCTATTGGCGGTAGAAAATATCACAACACAATGTACAGGATCAAAAAACCTGAGAGCGAAGACGAGCCTGTTTATGTTGTCGCAGAATATGCAACTCCAATTATCACTTACGTCGAAGCCTGCAAGTTCTCTGGTGAAACTGGTACAACCCAATAATTCTTAAGTGGTTCGAGTTAATCAGATATTTTTGGCAGATCTGATGGATTACAAGAGGGAGGCAATCCTAAGTTTCACTGAAACTCTACAGCGGCTGATTGATATGGAAAGTGAAACTAAAGACAACGTGAACTTGATTCTCTATGGTAAAAAAATTATTTTAAAATTTTCCTGCAGTATTTAAAACTCATTATAAATTATCCAGAGGGCGTAGACGAAAAAGGAAACCCTGTTAACTTGGCTCATGTTCTTCTTAAAAACATCCTACCTAATAACTAATTTTGTACGGCCATTGTATAACTGAAAACCTGTTGGCAGCATTAAGAAGCCTTTTTTTAGACGAATTATTCTCTTGGGATGGATGAAATCGATTTCAGAGTTAAGACACACCAGTAAGATGAAATTTTGAAAAATAAATAATGATTCTCATTTAAAATGTTGCGCTATAACATTGAGTAAAAATCAGTACAAATATAAAAAATGGATTTATTGGCATATTGCTCAAAATAAGCAACGATGTATATGATAAATTAATCTGCTTGTAAAGCACTTGAAAATTATTGTGATAGAAGTGATTGACAATTTTTTTAATTTTGCATAATAAAGACACATTGATGTAAAATTCTTGCATCAAATTTTTATTTCTTATCTAAAACCACAATTTGGAACACTTCAATAATTATAACTAGAAAACAAGCATTTCTGTACAACAGGCAACAACGATTTGCACGATATTTAATGCTTCTGAACTCAAATAATAGGTTTTTTTTAAAGGCGAAAACAATTTATGCCCAATCAGCCCAGTATAATAAGAGAGTATCACATGATGTAAAACTAGGTCCGTATTTAAAATAATTTTTAAGACTTTTAAAATGCTAAATACTCCAATATATAAGCCTAAAATTTGGTCATCAGAAAAGCAGTTTACTCTCTTTGAATTTGTGTGCACTGACACTAAAAAAAACAGTAGCATTTTCTAAAAAATAGGTTGAACAGAATATCAAGTAACGTGATGGCTTTGATCGTATCTTCCTAGCTTATTTGTAGTTCGACATGAAAATACAGCCTATATGAAAGCTTTAACAGAGGATAACGCTAATGAATTAGAATCCTTAACAAAGTTATTTCTCATTTTGTGAATTCTCTGATGAATGTGATGTGTCCAGACAAAAATCAGTCTGTTCGACTTTAAGAGAGTCGGATTGAGAACCGGAAACCTACAGACTGCTCTTGCCGCTGAAGTCTCCGAGCACCATTTCCTTGTAAAGTGTGTTCATCTTCTCTAAGATGATGAATGTGAGAACCGTGTGAGGACCCAGTCTGGCGTAGTATGGAGTGAAGCCCTTCCACAGAGCAAATAATCCTTCGTTGCGCACAACCTTTATCAAAACATCTGCTGCACCTTTATACTCTGGCTTTCCATCAATCATTTTCATATTTTGTATCCTAGAAGATTTCAAATTTAGATTAATTGAAATTAATGAGAACTAAAATACTATTACAATAAATTGCATATTTACAGATCATTTAATATTAATTTAACAAATTTTATGTGATTATGAGACCCGTGAAAAATAAATCAGATACTTAGAAAATATAGTTACCGTGTTTTGGCGATGTCAACAGGCATTGACGCGGCTGTTGTTACCAAGCCAGAAATCATACTGCTGACAAAATGACACAAAATGTTGTCCTGGAAGTACCCTACAAGCATAATATGCAAAATATTAAAAGATATTCAGGCCACCATACTCATTAAAGACTTGTTTGCATAATAATGAAATTGTGCCAACCCAAGGCCACTGTGTTGATGTCACCCATTCACTAAGTAGATTAAACTGGTTAAGAGTGCCAGCAGCAAATAACTTGCCCAATTTTGTAAAATTATTCTTTAATAAAAATTTTATTACCTGTATCTAGAAGGAACTGCTTGGCTTGTGAGTATGAAGCTAGCTGAGCAGCGTTGACGACCATGGCTCTGCCCATTGTGGGGATGGCACCTCTCCAGAGGGTGAACAACCCTTCTTCCCGTGTTATCCTGAACAAGGCATCAAACACACTTTTGTAGTTTCTCCTTTCCGCAAGAGGCAGTCGACCATCTGCAGTCATCCGAATCAGAGCAACCTCCGCAGGAGTGCCCACAAAAGCACCGCACACTCCAGCAGCCATACCAAGGCCAGCCTTCATGAAAAAGCCGGGAGGCTTTCCATCAGCCCTAAAAAATAAAATTTACAAATGAGTAAAATCAGGTTAAAAATGAAATAAGAAGAGCATAGTTATAAATAAATAAAAAGCTTTCACAATTCGGCCGTGGTCATATATCATGCCAAATTGAGAAATTTGGAAACCTTCCAATTTTTTGGAAAATTGATGAGGGTGTTTAATCAGAATAAAACGCTAATACTCACCCTGAGAAATTCTCAAACAACCAAGTGTAAATTCCAAGTCTTGTGGTTGTGTAGGTTGCCTGTCTCAGGAGCCCTGCCGACAGTCCCGAGTACATCCCGACAATTCCTTCATTTTTTAAAATGCCTCGAAACGCGTGGAAACTGGTCTTGTACTCCTTGGCCGCCCCTCCAGCTCCACTCAGTTGCATTCGGTTTTTTACCAAGTCTAGGGGCTGCACAAAACACGTTGCCCCCATCCTAAAAAATAAAAAAAATAAAATAGCAAAACACGTACCGCAGTGTCATTTGCAGTCGAGGGCGAAAGTGTCACTTTTGACGCATGAGTTGAAAGTGAAACTTACCCGGCCAGGCCTCCGAAAGCAAATTTTATGTACTTGGGCATCACTTTTGGTGGTTCTTGTTGGGCTGCCATGATGACTTACCGAGGATGGAGGCTGGACACTGAAAGAAAGGCTTGTTATCACCGTTTCTCCGGCAGCGAGGTTGGAGGAAGGTCACGGGGGCGTGGTTGTAAGAGACTGACCTTGGCTGAACTACTATAGTCAAATAAAATTGATCTAGACGATGATTGCTGAAATATACTTAACTTAAAAAATAAATTTTAGTTTTATGCTTGCAGTTTCTATAATTATTTTATTCAAAAAGCATTATTAAAGATGTAGGCTGGTTTCGGTCAGATTAGATCTTGACTAGCGTAGCACTTTTCGATCATCTTTGGGTTGACCTTCGCCAAGGTGAGAATTGAAGTATTTTTCTCTCGATCAATTATGTTTATTTAATCCTGTAAATGTTGCACTCTGCGCCCAGTGTTGCTAATGGGTAACACACCTTGATCATAACAAGTCGGTTGACGTCAAATTTAAAACGGAATTCGCTGTTTTTGTGTTATAATTTGGCATTCACTCCAGACCAAAATTTTCGGTTCTCCAACACCGGGGTGTCGAGCGGCGAGTTGGCAATGCCGGCAATTTTTGACGGAAAATACTTCCTGAACTTTTTTTTTTAATTTACTCATGAAATTACTTGTTTTTTTTAGTTCCTCAATGTAGGCTGAATGTTTTTTAATGCAGCCTAGTAATAAAAATATCTTTTCAAAATGGGCTTATGAAAATGTTAAAAGTCTTGCAGGGGGTCTTTGCTTGCACGCATAAATAGGCAACGCGAAAATTATGAGCGAGTATTCGGCAGAAAATAATGAAAAATCCGGGAAACTCCTTCGTGATTTGCATTTTTCTTCTTTGCTGAAAGTTAGATCATTTATTTTTGTGGCTAATGCTAAATTCAAATGTAATTTCTAAGTTTTTTGTTGCGCTTTTAATTTCGGAAGGCTAAAAAGTTGAAGCTGATGTAACATTGTCAGATTTCTATGTGAATTATAAATTTATCTTATTAACTAAATTTGTTTATTCATATCTACATAAAAAATTAGATTGGAGTGATTTTTCTATTAATTTATTTTAGTCAATGTGCTACATATTTGTGCTTTTCAAGATCCGTTCCCCTTAGGCTGAACTTTGTAGTTTGACCTTGGCGTGACCTAAGGGGTGGGTTCGCTCCTAGTTTGCACATACTCCACATTTTGTTCTGCGTTGTCCTAACCAAGCGAGCGCCAGTTCTTCTCGAGACTTGCTAGTCTTCGCACACACTTGACCATTCCAATTAGGAGATAAACCCACCAATTATCGGTGTTTGGTGAGCTTTCCAGTCGCATGACCGATCCTGTTTAAAAGAAACGCTCTAATCACTCTCTGGCTACTCTAAAAGGTCTAGCAATTTTACTTAAAAATATTTTGCTTTCTTCACTCAATTTGGAAAAAAAGTAAATAAATTTTTTCATTTTCTTTGTATTATTTGGTCTATATTAAAATTACTGGTGTATATTCTGTGAATTTTTTGTTTGCCTTTCTTATCGCCTAGGATAACTCACCGGTATGTTTTGAGAACCCACTCAAAGGTTATGACCTCTTTTTGACCTTGCTTTTATTAAGTACAAACTTGAGGGGTATCAAAGCAACATTTACCAGATAATTGTGCCCCCAAAGCCACTGAGGTTATTGGAAACGTAAAATGTATACATTTTTCATGTATAATAATATTAATATTTCCTCTTAATTTCTCCTTAGTTAAATTAAGCTTTTTTTTAATTTCGTCTCGCAAATAATATTATTAATTTGTGGAAAAAATTGTTATAGTTCTCAATCAGAGCCACCAAACTCACCATGTCCAAGATTGGAATCAACGGATTCGGCCGCATTGGCCGCCTGGTGCTGCGCGCCGCCCTGAATGCTGGTGCCCAGGTTGTGGCTGTCAACGACCCCTTCATCCCCTTGGACTACATGGTCTACATGTTCAAGTATGACTCTACCCACGGCCGCTTCAAGGGAGAAGTCAAGGCTGAGGATGGTAATCTCGTCATCAACGGCCAGAAGATTGCCGTCTTCCAGGTTAGCCCTGAACTTTAACAAGAAGTTTTTTATTTAAATAAATAAGTTAACAAGATTTTAAGACTAAAACTTTAATTTCTTAAAAGTATAGCTTTCCATTTTTTCAAAATTTTCTCAAAAATTTATAAAATAATTATAAAGTGCAACAGCCCTTTTTTAATCTTAAAAGGGAAAAAATTGTATCGTAGAACTAATATAACTAATATTTTTATCAAATCTGCAGGAGCGTGACCCCAAGACCATCCCCTGGAGCAAGGCTGGCGCTGAGTACATTGTTGAGTCCACTGGCGTCTTCACCACCATCGAAAAGGCCTCTGCCCACTTTGAGGGTGGTGCCAAGAAGGTCATCATCTCCGCTCCCAGCGCTGATGCCCCTATGTTCGTTGTCGGCGTCAACCTGGAAGCCTACGATCCCAGCATGAAGGTCATCTCGAACGCTTCTTGCACCACCAATTGCCTCGCTCCCCTCGCCAAGGTTATCAACGACAACTTTGAGATCGTTGAGGGTCTGATGACCACTGTTCACGCCATCACTGCCACCCAGAAGACTGTTGATGGACCTTCTGGAAAGGTACAGCAAAAAATCTTTTAATAATATGAGAATTAATTATAGTAAATTTTTCATTCCAGCTGTGGCGTGATGGCCGTGGCGCTGCCCAGAACATCATTCCCGCCTCTACTGGTGCCGCCAAGGCTGTTGGCAAGGTCATCCCTGCATTGAACGGCAAGCTGACCGGCATGGCCTTCCGCGTGCCCACCCACGACGTCTCCGTTGTTGACCTGACTGTCAGGCTTGGCAAGGATGCCACCTATGATGAGATCAAGAAGACCGTTAAGGCCGCAGCTGATGGACCTATGAAGGGTGTCCTCGAGTACACTGAGGACCAGGTTGTATCCAGCGACTTTATTGGCTCCACCTCCTCCTCCATCTTTGATGCTGATGCTGGTATTCAGCTGAGCCCCAGATTCGTCAAGCTCATTGCCTGGTGAGCCTCGGAATCAATCAGATTTTCTAAAATATTATATTCTCTTTTTTGAAAATAATTATTAACACTGAAAATCTTGATCTTGAATATTTAAGCAAAAATACTCTAACAAATTTTTTTACTTTGTTTGCAGGTACGACAATGAGTTCGGCTACTCCACCCGTGTGATTGACCTCATCAAGTACATCCAGTCCAAGGATGCCTAAATCAAACACCCATCATTTAACACCTAAAATGATATGTTAAAAGAGCAATTTTGTTGACAATGAAAAATTTCAATGTTTAGCTTCAAGCATTTATAGGGTGCAAAGGGTCGGCCCTTTTAAAAGTATTGGCGCTATCCTCAAGTCAACTAAAAATTAATTATACTGTTTAAAGAAGTCAAGTTTTGATGTAGATCCAAAACAATAAAAACCCATTTGATTGAGATTACTGGTGAAGAACACTAGCTCTTGTTTTATTTTAAACAAATAAAATAAACACCCCTTAAATGTATGCAAATCTGTAGACAACAGATTATCATAAACTATAAAAAGCAATCGCTGCTGTCGACACGGAATGAGTTGTGTATGTGGTAATTCTCAATGGAAAAAAGTCCTTTGGTTGACAAACTTTCCCAGAGCTCTCGCTAGATTCCCTGCAATGCGCGGCGCTGGCACTGGATCAATAGTCTCGCCTTTATGTAGCCCAATGTGCAGCTGGACCTGAGGCTGTTAACTCTTGCTTGGCAAGCTCTCCAGAATGTTTTTATAAATATAAATATATCTGCTTTTTTTAGTAGTGTTCATCAAAACATTGAGCAGTCCCAGGTAATATTCTTGCTAATGAGCATTAATTAAGAAATGTTAGGGAATTTTCACAATCATATCCTTAAGGTTTGTAAAAAAAAGTGTAGGAATATAATTTAATTATTAAATATATTAGACTTGCAATCACGGAACTTGTGATAGAATTGGTGTTCCATTTCTAAGTTCCAGTTTTTAATTCAGCACCGCCACATTGATTTTTCAATTTTTTACAATAAGATGTGCGCTTTATTTAAATCTCGAAATAATTTATTGGATATATTGTTAAAATTCTTGTTAATTATAATTTTTTTGTTTTGTTTAAAATACAAATATTGCAAAATAAAAATTGATTTTGAGGACTATTAGCATGTGATATTTTATTTATATTTTTTGGTGCTTACAAAAATAATAAATTACATTATAATTACAACATAGGCGCGCAGGGTTTGTGAGTTTCCGATCCACAATATAGCAAGTAGAGCAGCTATATAATTTCCAGAGCGCCATAACGTTATGTATGGCCGCGCGGTCTTGCGTGCCGATTATTGCTTTGGCCTCCAAACCATGACATTTTTATTTTATAAGAGTGTACCATTTCATACATATATGATTTACTCATTTTATATCATAATTCAGCCAATTAAAATCTGCAGACCTTTTTTGAATTTAACTCGATCCATAATAATTATTAAAAGGCAGTGTAATGAAAAAAAATGACTTTGATACTTCTTATTTAATCTTATAAGTTTTAAATTCAATTTGAGAATAAAAATAATTTTTGACAATGTTTCAGTACTTTCAGTTAAAAAAAAATGCACACAAGTACAGCAAATATGACTATGACAGTGGAGCATCCTTCCCACCATCCTGAAGATTTATGGGTGTTCCAAGTTTCTGCCGCTCTTTTGGCAACCTGCTGTATAGTAGGAAACGGCCTAATGGTGGCCGCTTCTTTGAATGCACGACGTATTTGTCGGATGACCTCAAAGAACAGCTTATTTTTTAGGTACATAACAACTGGAGAAGTAAAAATTCTGCTTAACAATGAGTTTCCTTAAATTTCAGCCAATCTTGCGGACTACTCATCTTTTCTCCAATCTCCACATTGTACCCTGCCAAATTAGCTGCTTTTCGATATTCGCCTAGCCCATCTGCAGCAACAGTTTCAGTCTTATCCGGATCAACCACTTGTTTGGGTGTAGGTTCGCTGCCACTGGTGATAACCACCTTAGCCCCGGCTGTTCACACCTTGCTCCTCTCGCTCGACCTCTACCTTCCGTTGGTTGACTGCCTGCTCGAGTGGCAGCATTTAGCTGCAGTGGCTGCTTTTTCATGGTTACTTGTGATCCTCGTTGCCCTTATGCCCTTGCTAGGGTGAGAAGTGAATTTAAAATTAATCAAATTGAACTAAAATTCGTATAAAGATGGAATTCTTGGCGAGGTCTCTGCTACATACCCCTCGTGTGGACAACAAAATACTCAGGACTTCTATCAATGCTGCACATTCTCATGGCCATGGCCTGTGCATACCTGCTGCTTGGAATGTTCATTCATAGCAGACTTGGAAAAGAATCAGCCCCTCAAGACGAAAAACCTTCCACAGTAAAGACTTGAAATCAAAATTAAAATTTAAAATCCAGTTTGTATTTCTAGGACTCGACGATCCACGTCCTTCCGCCCTGGGAGGCCAAAGCACGGCTTATGTGCATTCTCGTACTTCTGCTTTGCACACTGCCCATGCTCCTGGCCGTACTGGTTCACTCTGATGTCCTGACTAACCAACAACCTGTTTTGCTACAACTAGCATGGCTGGCAAGACACGACTCAGTTTTGCCATGGTCTCTTCTATTGGCCATCCTTCCAGCAGCTCTTCTTCCTTTGTTCTGTGTAGCTGCTGAGCCGTATTTGTGCGCAGCCCTGAGAAATCTTGGCCACCGATTCAGTTGCTATGGTCTGGCCTACGTTCGACCCAGTAGGCACACAAGGAGGCACAGAAATGTTGTCACCCCAGCGTCTGAGGAGGACTAAGAAATTCTTGCTTTTTAAATATTTATAATTTTTTTGCTACTATCTAATGAAGAATGATTATAAGCAATCAGTTTAGAGGAAATATTGAATTTGCGCTACCAAAATTTAGCGGAAAAAATTAACAACAATAAAAGTTAAAATAATGCATTTTGTCACACTTTATTTTTAAGGAAAACTTTGTAATAGCAAAGCACAAAAATTTGCTCCACAAATATTATACAATTTGGGTGTCTCACTATTGTCATATGGTTTCACTGATCAAATATTGATCATATTTCAATAAAAGAGGAAAAATAAAATATATTCAATGTATGTCAAAAATACCCAACAAAAAGGAACAAAAGATCAACTTAGTTCCCAAGTCTACATTTTAAAAATTATGAAAATTAACTCATTTGGAACAAAAAAGCTTCTAATTAACATTTGGATCTTAATAAAATTTAATTTTAAAAGTTATTAAATGATGTTAATATTTGTCAGAAATAATAAAAACCTTAAATACTTGCACACCAATTGCTTAGGACTCACAGCTTTGGCTCTTCAACTTTGATTGCAGGGATTGCTCTTAGATGCTTCTTGTACAATTTAGGCACAAGGGCTTTGAGCATTATGTGTGAGATGACGGCAGTCAGGCCCCAGACCGTTTGTTGGCCAGGTGCCTGGAAAACAGGCAAGACCATCCCTCTGCTTCGGAACTGGGTGTGCCGACAAACAAGGGGATCGCAAAGCTGCTCTATGGACAACGAAAACACAGCCTCCACTTCCTGATCATTCACTTGCAGGTTCTTTAGATCCAAAGTGCCAACAAATCCCAAAACGGGCATTACCGCAACTTTTCCTGCAAAAATATTACATTGTTAAAAAAATAATATCAAAGGATATTTCCCAATATAAGAAAAAAATTTATTAAATTTTATCATTCTGTATAGACAGAGCGAAGTTCAAAGGTATATAGGACAAAGCGATTTTTTATCTTTATATATCTAGCATGTACACAATTTAAAAAACAATAAATATAACAAAAAAACTTCACAGAAATTATCTTATCAGATAGTACACACAAATATTTAGGTGGAAATAATTTAAACATGCCTGAATATGTTCCGACAAAGTTTGCCTCAGACCAAACATCAACAGTAGATGCTTTGATGCCCAGTTCCTCTTCAGTCTCACGAAGGGCAGTTTCCACCAGACTAGAATCAGTTGAGTCTTCCATTCCTCCAGGAAAAGAAACTTCTCCCCTAAATTCCACAACAAAAGATGCCAATGCAAGAAATTATAATGCGTAAGTAAATTTTTGTTGCTGTTAATTAAAAAATATTTAATCACATAAATATAAATCTTTCAATAAAAAAAAAACATATTGTTATTATAAATATAATTTTTAAAGGTTTCAAAGGTTTTAGTATTATTAGTCTCACCTGTTGGTCCGGAGGTTGGTGGACCGAACAGTGTAAAGAAGGGAAAGTTGCCCCTCGACAATACAAAGAGGCACCAAAACGGCAGCCTTCTTTTCGGGTTCACCACCTTTCAGTCTAAGAGGCTTGATCTGCCTAAGAGCCTGGACACATCGGATTCGGTTTTCCTGGCCGATGACACTGGTTGCGTCCAGGTGCACCGACCGCTGGGACACTAACAGCAGTGTCCCACCTAGGTGTCCTGCACGCAAAAGTCTCATCTCGGACGTTCCACGGAGCAAGATTTGCGAAATTAAAAACTTTCGTTGAAATGCATGTCGGACAAGTCGTCAAATCGCCTGACGAAAATGATTTATTTTTGTTTTGATTTCTGATTTTCAGCCTCAGCCCACTTTTAATTACGGTCACTCCCACTAGGGCTATTGCCAGTTTTTTTTATTGCGCTCTATGAACACCGGTTTTTGATACCATCAAGAAATGAATGCAAAATTAATGCAATCTACGATTTAGTATGATTTTGATAGCTCATAAATTTTTTAAAGAAAGCAAAATGACTATATCATTAATTTATTTGCTACCAATGTTTCAATAAATAGTGAAATTGTTAAAACTGTTAATTGCAATAACTTTAAAACCGGTAGATTTAAAGTTAGGAAACCGAAACCGAAATAACAAAATTGATCGCTTTTCTCCAATGGAAGACTGCGCTGTGCTGATTGTAAAGCTTATTTACTGAGATTTCGTAGCTTTCCGTGGCAAGTTTTCATATTTTTTCATACAAAACAGACCTTCAATTCATCAAGAATCGGATAATGAGAAATTGGTGAGTTTTTCATTTCCTTTGACAGAATTCGCGACATTTTAATAACCCGCAACTCTCGCCCTTTCGTGAAAATGCTCCTCGCCATATTGTTGTCTGAGTTTTTCATTTCGAGCAAGATAAATTTATTGTGTTAATAAATAATACATTATATCCTTAATTACATTCTAATCTACAGATTTCAGCAGGTTTCGTATAGCCTAACTGCGTTGAAAAGATGTTCGGAATTCGAATTTTGTGAATTCGCATCGTGCCATTTCGTGTTATGTATGTATATGTCAATTTAAAAGTGCCAACGCGGGTTCATAATGTGTTTTTTATCACTTGCGAAAAAATGCACTGCATACATAAACTGTGAATACGATTACATATCGTTGAGCAAACGTACAATGCTTCTTAAATTTTTCACAAACTCTGTGAGTGGTTTGAGAGAAGAAAAGTGTTTGACGTCAAATGGAAGTGTTTTCACAATGATAATTCCTTGATGTACACGTCTCATATTATTCGCGTCTCGGTACTTCAGGTGGTATAAATATAAAAAGGTGGTACATGGGGAGGGGCTTTCAAAAAGCCACCCTATAAACCTCATATAAAAATTCTAAATTTCTTCTAATTTCATACACGGGTTTTTGGAATTCACATGAAAAGCCGTTTTTCATAATATTGATAGCTGATTTTATTAAGAAAAATTTCTTGTAGAGCGACCAGTTAAAAATGAAAATAAAAATGGTTTAATTGGGATATTTGGTTTGGTAAGATCTTTCTCTAAGTAGAATCAGTTATAACAACAGGATAGAAGGGAATTTTAATTACGGTGTTTATTTGGTGTGTTTAATAATTTATTTTTGAGGTAATTAAAAAAATCGTGTATATCAAAATCCTGTTTTACTTACGCATTTATAGAGAACAGTGAAAGTTTTTTTCTCTTCTATTAATTTTTTACAGAAAGAATATTTTCAAATTTCAATACAGCGCGAAAACATTCATGCACCTGAAAGCTATGAACGGAGAGGAAAATTAACTTGAAAAACTATCGACTTGATATTCAGCGCCAAAGTGCGTTGCCGGTTTCACCTGGCTGTTCAAATTGTCAAAATTAGTTGTTGTTTTTTCGCACATTTCTGTAACTTATATACCTTCTGGAGGGTCTGCAAATGAATGTAAATTGGTAAGTAAGGGAAAATCTTGTCAAAGTTTTCTCGTCCCAAGGATTGATATTTCTTCGGCAAAATGCATCGATTAAAAAAAATTTCATCCTAATTTGGAGATTTCTGTTTTATTTGGAATCTCTTGCAGGTGAAGAAATGGAAGCGTACGCAGGAGGTCGGCAGAAAACCAACCAGGACAACTTCGATGACCTGGACCTGGACCTAGAGAAGCCACAGAAGAAGAAATTCGTGCGCAGCCAGCTTGGCGATGCCGAGGAACTCGAGGACAATGACCTGCGACTGAAACTGCTCGCCCCTACAGGCCAGAAGAAAGGGGCGGCAATCAAAATTAACTTGCACACAAATAGCAAACCTTTAGCTGAAACGAGGCCAAATGCTCCTCCCCCTGCTCGGGCCTTTCCTCTTCCAGGTTTCATACCCATTGGTACCCCGCCAGCAAGATTTCCCAACCCTTCCATGGGTAGCCCTAGTTTTGGACTGCCTTTCAACCTTTCTGTTCCTCCAGGGGCTTTGCCGACTCCAGCTATAGCCACACCTGGTCCTTCCCCTGCAGAAAAAGCTTTGGCAGAACAAACAAAACAGGAAGCGCAGGTGTGTCTCACGTACAAAGTTGTCAAATTTATTATTGGCTCTTTTTGTTTTAAAATTTTTAATGTTATTTAAGATAGTAAAAATAATTTGCTTTAAGTGAATGTCCCATCAACTTAAAATTTTTTATATTTGCAGCAGAAATTTGTTTCTGCCGCTGAAAAGCAAAAGGAGTTACAGAAGGCCCTCGGAATTGAGATATCGCACGAGGCAGGGCCAGGCCGATATTCTTACAGAGGACCCCTCTACAAGAAGACCACAGGCAAAAACGCACACCTATATTCTTGCCATGTGTGCCAACTCAAGGTCCTTGATAATGACATCGTCAACCACAACAATGGCAAAAAACACAAAGCAAATATGATTGCCATCAATATAATTGATTACAGGAGGGAGCAAGGTATTTGATTTTGAAATCCTTTGCACTCCTAATCTCAATTTTAACAATTCAGAAACTGCTCATCTTGATGAACCTGCAGTTCCTGGCATGGAAATGGAAATGCGGCGAGTGCCATTGTGCCAAACTATGCTGGATAAGTTTACTGATTCGCCCATAATTGGTAATTTCAAACTTAAAACTGGTGTTGGCTTATTCCTATAAAATCAAAACTCTGTAAGAGTTGTTTGAAATAAAATTGATTTGATCTAGTCAATTAAATCGTCTGCTTTTTGGTTTGTTGATTTATAGGGCTTGAGTATTTGGTCGAGTTAATGGACGACGATGTAGAAAATTGTCATGTTGTGTGTTTCTTATGCGATAAGCGAGGTGAAAACCTAATGCAAAATGTGCGACAAAACATTATTTCGCACATGATTGGCACTGCTCACCGTATGAACTATCTGGTCTGTATTTATATTATTATGGAGTTTATTATATCAAATATTAAAATTCCAGAAGCGACATTTTGCAAAAGCACATGAAGCTCTTCTCTTAGTTCAAAACAGCAAAGATCTGAAACTAGAAATGGGGCGCTTTGTTCGCACTGTTGTTGAGAGCATTGAAAGGGAATATGGACGACTGAAGCCCATGCTAGTTCTTGGCCGCACCTTCCGAGCAAAATGCGAGGAATACAAAGAGGCAACCAACAAGCAAAGGCATTTTTGGTAGGTTAATGTTATATTGCTTTAAATTTAGAATTGAATTTGAATTTATTGAATTTATTTTAGTGAAACTCCGAGCAAAACTTTTGTTGAGCTTGTTGGCGTTCCGAGAAGGGAGCCATCTGTTGAGAGCTTGGATCGTAGCCCGAGAAGTCCTGGTCGGAGGGAAAGAAGAGGAAGGAGTCGAAGTCCTATCCCAAGTGCAAGAAGTCGAAGCCCTCGGTCAAGGGCAAGAAGTCGAAGTCCAAGACCGAGTGCAAGAAGTCGTAGTCCTGGCTTGAGATTGAGAAGTCCTGAAAGCCACTGGAACCCCAGTCCTGTGCAAGGCAGAAGTTCGAGTCCAGGTAGACGGAGGAGTCCCATTCGAAGGCGAGGCCAGTCATACAGAAAAAATACTTCTAAAAGTGACAGCATTTCACCTGAGGGTAACCTAATTTTAATTAACTTGGAACGATTTAATTAATTAAAATAAAACAGGTGGGTCTAGCCGGATGTCTCCATTTGATGAAAGGTCAGTTATAGTTGCATTTTAATTTATTGGTCTGATTAGACTGATATTTTATTTAACACATAATTTAAATGTTGCATATAATTATAGATTCAATGAAAGGGAACAAACCATTTAAATATAGCAAAGTGGCAATTATTTACTAAATATTGTTTTATTCTTGCATTGCAACAACAATTCAAGCATTCTACAAAATTAATTGTCTATATTAATTAATTGACTTTATAATATAATGATTTTTTTTTTGTCTTTTAACTGATGAGCTTGCCTCATGATTCAAAATTTCAGACTTCAACAGAATAGTCATCCACCTCCACCAGTGCGTGAAGAAGAAGAATCTGGCCAAGAAGTTGTAGAGATTCTTCCCAAAAAAGCTAATGGTACTGCTATTTAATATTTTTGTCAAAAATATATATCCTTTTTTTAAATTATTAAGCACACATTAATTCTAATTTATGAATTTTCAAATATTTGCATACAAATTGTATCTGAGTGGTAATTATTTATTTTAGAGATATGTATAATAATGCGCTATTTTGATGAATGTTAAATCTATTTAATTTACTTAAGGGTGTGAGATCATTTTTATTTTAAAGATTTTATTGTAAAAATTAACGTGTTTCAGGCAAAACGCTGAACATAAATGACGCACTTCGAGACACAACACCAATCTCCAACTCTGGTTCTGACATGTCCTTGTCACCTGAACCAGTCTCTCCAGGAAGACACATTTCCCCAGTCGGGATCAGACAGTCTAATCGAGACAGGTTGCCCAAACTAGATAATTTTGGTAGGGAAGTGAGCCGAAGGCAAGAGTATGGGAAACGATCTCGCTCCCCAGACAGCAGACGTGCGCATCAGAGTAGAAGGCATTCACGTAGTCCACGCAGAAATCGTAGGTCTTTGTCATGTAGCCCTATTTCAAGCAGGAGTGGTTCGCGCTCACCCCGCCCTAGGTCTCGCTTGTCCGACTCTAGGAGCACAAAGACAATGAGTATTCGGGAAAAGTGGGATCTGTTCAAAAGTGAGTGTGATGAGATAGAGAGGGAAATCAAGAAAAAGCGGCGCCACTATCAGACCCAGCCTGAGAAGCATCCAGCTTACAACGAGGAGTGGAAGATTTTCTGGAACAAGAAGCAGCAAGAAGTAAAAGAAAGTGGCAGGAATCCGGCCAAGTATGACTACACACCAGAGTGGAAAATCTTCTGGAATGAGAGGGTGGAGGAGTTGTACATTCATGAGCTCCAAGACCACAAGAGAGAGTTGAGGAGAAAGTTGGGTTTCACTGAAGAAGAAGGCCTCAGACCTAGATCCTCTAAGGGTTCAAAGTCTGCTTCTAAAGGAGGGTCTGTGTCAGACATCAAAGATACCTGGAAGGCCCTGACAGGTGGTGACATCAAAGGTGAGCCCAAGCCAGAGCCAAAACCTATTAAGCCTGACTACCGAACAGTTTTGGGAATGTTGAGACATTTGACAGCCTTGGAGCCTCAGCTTGGTTCACTTGGCCCAACAGTCAACAAACTCCTCGGAAGAGCTCTGGCAATGGAAAAGGTAAAAAAGGATTCTTCAGAGGACATTCTCTTAGAGATCGAGAACACCGTGATGCTTGAAACGATCAAGGAAAAGTTCAGGGGCCAACTGATGGCAGGCATCGTTGAGCGATTTAACGTTGGCGCCACAAAGAATGCCATCAACAACATTGGATGGCTACTTGATCATGCCCCACCACCTGTTATCAAGGAACAGATCCAGAAAGCAGAAGAGGCACCAAAGGTAGCTGCTGCCGAAAAAATTATCACTTCAAACGTTCTGGCTCCAGCAAGTACTGCAAAGGCTACAGAACCCAAGAAGGAGGCCGTCTCTGTGCCAGGTGTGGGAAATATTGACAGGAACGCCATTGCGTTGCAGATCGCCAGCGCACTTCTGGCGCAAGGTAAGACTGACATCACCAACGACGAGCTGGAGCAGTTGGTCGAAGCAGTAGTGGGGATGGCCCAGAAAAAGAATGAAGAAGCCTCGGAGAAGGAGAAGAAAAAAGAGGAAGAGCAAATGGCCAAGATGGAGGAACTGGTGGTCGTCCCTGATGATGAGGTGAACACGGCAGACATGTCCGAAGATGACCTCATCTCATGTCTAAAGATTTTTGAGTTTTTACCTGAGCATGAAAAACATTCGATCATTATGCAGCTTCAGCGCCTGGAAGAAACGGACCCTGAAAAGGTCAAGGAACTGCGGAAGTACGTAAACGCAGGTACTGAAATGAATTCACAAAATCAGCTTTTTGGTAAAATTGACTCTGACGAGGAGGACTACTTGGACTCCGATGTGCTTAATGCTGCCAAGAAAAATGTTGAGCAGCAGATCAAGCCGAAAGCTGCCGATGCGAAGACTGTGAAAGAAGCCACTGACTCCATGATGGCTGGTTTGATGGACAAGCGGCCGGACAGGAGGTCTGAGACCATCAACACCGAATTGCCACTTCCACCAATTGGGGACATGCCCTCCACCGCTCCTGTCACTCGGCCGACTATGTCTTCCTCCTCTCAAAATGTAGATCAGTACTTTGGCTTCAATCAACCTCCATCGCAGCCGACACAGCCGCAGCTCAATTCATTCCAGCAGTATCCACCCTATCCACCATATGGTGGTCAGCCCTATGGCTACTACCCTCAGCAGAATTGGTAATTGGTGTTGCTTATTTTAATTACAGTGCTAAGCTTGATTTATTTTATTCTCACATTGAATGTGTACAGGGCTCTTGGTGTAACGAGGCCCAGTGGACCTCAACGAAACCTTGTGTCTGTGCCCTTGCAATCTGCAATGCAAGCCCCTGTAAGCGCAAATACTGTTGGAGCAGTTTCCAGACTGACCTCCAAACAAAATCCTGCTTTGATTCACTTGACGGGCCAGCGCTAACTCTGGCGCAAGTGAAAAGAAATTTTAGAGCTATAATGACTAACATAACTCTGTCTCTTTTTACTTCCTGATTTCAATAAAACCGTCTGCTTAGTATCTCTTCACTTTTTTATTTCAGCTGCATGCATTGGGTGTGAAATGTATGATTATCAATTTTCTAAAGTGATTGTTTGGATTATTCAACAGACTTTTTTAAATTGATTGGTAAAAAAAATTATTGCAAAATATTAAATAATATTGCTCTCAATTAATTGAAATTATTTTTTCTTAAAAGTATCTTGCATTTACATGCTAAATTTGGTATGCGCTTGGGAACCCCGATCTTCAACAAGATGTGGGTTGTTATCAGCAGGTGTTGTGACTTGTGATTAATTTCTTGCGTTATCTTCTGGGTTTTACACATTAAGAGTCAATAGTAAAACATTTAAATGCATTCTAAGCTAAGTCATTTATTTAATATCTGGATGGTGTACCCTAAAAATTTTGTTTAATAATAGTTCCCTTTTTAAACAAGAATTTAAAGGGTAAATTAAAAATTTATGTTATAGAGGAAAATCAATGCTTATTAATTTTAATTGTATAGCATATTTTAGCTTGGGATGATGTCAAAATTATTTAAGAAACTTTGAAGTTTAATGTTCTGTGAAAATTAATTAATGGCGTATGGTGTCTAATTTTGCAAAGGGTGTGAAGTGGTATTTAGCTTAAGTTCAAAATTAGACGTCCATAGCCAAATGAAAAGCGGCACACGCGCTTGCAAACACGTCCCACGAATCTATTTAAACCCCCCTCACGAGTTCTAATTAATTATAAAACCAGTGTTGACGCACGATTTAATTGACGCCATGAAATTAAACCGCAAATACTTATTGCGCGTTTATCTTGTTTGATCTCAAAAATAATAAGGTTAAAAAAATAACGTATAAACGGCAGCGCGGAAGCTGCAGATTTCCTCTAATGGGGGAACCGCAATAGAGAACGTTAATAAATTTATTATTTCTGGTTGTGTGAGTGTGGCACCGTGAGTCCTCCGAAGGTAGCGTCCTTGCACAGGTCACCCACTCTGGAGGGGCTACGTGACTCGCGGTGCTGACGGTGCGCAAGTCCGCTTGCTCGGCGTGGTCGATCGATCGAGACGAGCCCCCTACTTAATTCACTCATCGCGCTCGCTCTCGCCGCTTCGGCCGCGCAAACAAAAACGTGTTGTCTCCATGTGAGGTGCCTTTCGCGGACAAGATTGAAGCCTTCCTGCTGTCCCTGCTGCCGGCTGCCCTAGCCCAACGTCTCCGACGAGATCAAAAAATGGCCCCAATCGTCAGCCCTCTGTCCTTCCGCCTGAACCTTGCCGACGTCAAACAAGGTGTGTTTTTTTTTGGCATTTTTTTTTTTTTATTAATTATATTATTTCCCGAAATGATAATTTTTCTGATTGCTAATTTTGATCTGTGTGTATGGAAATTTGAATTAAAAATAATTATATTCTTCTGAATCGAATTAAGCAGCTTGTTATGATTCTGTGACCTTCAGAGCATAGGGGTGAAATGTCAGCAATTTGCGACGCGTACGCCTCGTCACTTATTCTATTGCTGGACCTCAATTTTATTTTATCGCACTGCTGATTGTGACGTTTTCTGACCACTACCGGGTAGCTACGCTTGCTGACGAGGTTGCCTGGCAGTTGGTTTAATTTTTTGGGAGGTTTGCCAAAATGCTTTACCAGTTGCTAAAATTAGCGCTCTCGCCACTACATGTTTTGCTCCGCGAATATACGGAGATGCGAAATAACGTTAGTAGAAAAACGTGACTATCTCGTTCTTGAATATGAACACCAAAGGGGGAATCTCGAGAAAATTTTCCTACTAATTGGATTGATTAATCAAAACGGAAGAAAGAGAGCAGTTTTAATGGCTGGTTAATAAGGAGCATTTGTTTTAGTAGAAATTAAATTTGCAAAATGATTCAATAACATTTGCACATAATTTAATATTTTAGCCCTCCAATTAATCGTTTATTTTCCTACGCAGCAGAGACAAAACTGAATAAATCGTGGTGATAACAATATTATATTATTTTGCTACCCTTCACTTGAAACAGATATTTCTGGTTATTTCAATAATGGAATTAATTAATTTACGTGGTATAAATTTTTGTAAAAATATTTTTTAATAAAGCAACTTAAATTTTAATATACTTGCCGGAGCTGATATGAGTAATTATAAGAAAATAAAAAATAATATACAAGATTTTTGCTTATTAATTTTAATTGAATAATATATTTTCATTTTCTAGCCCAAAATTACTAGTGCCAATTTTATAAACAAATAAAATGTTTTATACATTAGTGTGATTTTTAAATTGAAAACTTAAATTCTCTTCGAATAAAAATTAGCATGCCTGACACCTAATATTCTGCTAATTTTTTGGTACCAGGAAAGAATCTCAAGTTGGATTTTATCAGTTAAAACGAAACAGGTATAAAAAAATTATAAATGGATTAAAATTCTGTCTTTAATAAAATAAAAAGCACAAAAATAAGAAATTGAATTTTATTTCCAATTGAAATGAACTTTGAAATTTGTTAAATCGTATACCATAATACAATTGGCGAATGGGTTCAGAGTTTTATTCAATTCATTTGTAATGAAGCGCTTGGTGGAACTCGCTCTCAAATTTCCATGGCCGAAAATCTATTGCGCAGTAAAAGTTTTCGTTATACACAACAATCTAATTGCATGTTGTGTGGATTTGGCACGCAAAATAAAGTGGACTAGCTTGTTTGCGATCGCCGGCCGTATCATTTTTTTTTGTCATTTGACAGGTGAGCGAGAAGGCCAGCAAGATCTGCTATTCTGCTGCAGGCACGACCTTCTCAACACTCTGTTGGACCCTACAATCACAAACCTAGCGCCTGCTTCAAGTCCTGAAGTTACCAGGGCTTGACGTCAGCTTTCAGCCTAGGGAAATCACAGCATATAGGCCGGAAATAAACATTGTTGCGTGGATTATATTTTGATCAACAACGTAATAAGAGTTATAGTTGCTAGATTTTCGCGGAGGTCAATTATTACATATATAATTTATGCAACGCGCGCTATGGCCTCGCATAAGGACGGCAGCTGAGCAAATTGTCGCTGGCTGCGATTGATTTGTTGTTTACATGGCGAGGAGCAGAGCTTTGTTCATTCTCATTTAATTTCTTGTTGCCATTTGAGCATCACTGGCAGCTCATTTCCGCGTTCTCGTTTTTTCATGAGATATCATTGTTGTTGTCAGGCTCCTCTGGCCCGCAATTTGGTCCAATGGCTGTCGTCGTCGAAGACTATGGCCGTACACACCTGGCCAAAAAGCTCGGCAAGTTCCTCAACTGGACCGGCCACCAGGCTAAACGTAAGTTTTGCAATATATTTAAAAATAAATTTAGTTTTTTACAATAATTGCGTCTAATATTTTAGTGTAATATAAAAAAAAGTTATTATAAAAAAAATAATGAAAAAACAAGATGAAATTTATCATTCTTTGAAAAAAATTATTAAATTTTTGCTTTTTTCTAAACTCTAGTTTTTTTTTCAACTTATGACAGCTAATTAATCAACGAGTGGTGAATCCTTTTTTAATAATCGTTTTAAGAATTTTTTTATGATTTTTTCTTTTTGCATAATTTTATTGCATATATACTTGTATTGCATAATTTATCATAAGTGGAAATTTACTTATCGCTTATATTACTATATAGAACAATAGTGGAAAATTTTCATTTCACTGAAATGAGCAAAGATCCCCACGCATCTTACAAACTGCTGGTCACAGAATACAAAGTACACATCAAACAATCCGCTTCAGTGAGTGTGTGTGCAAACATATTAGCATGACCCCATTTGCACAACTCGCGGAAGGCAAACTGATGATAATTTCCACAGATCGAGGAACAACAATAAATCGTAAATCACGCCGCGCTTTCTGAATGTTGCAGATTTCACCATGCTAGACGAAAACCTTAAGTGGTTTGAGGATAAGAAATTGGCACAGTGCCCAGCCGAGTTTGAGGACATCTGCAATTGGCTTTCTAAAGGAGGACCTGCCATAGCCGTGAGTCAAAAATATTTTAAAACTTGGAGACCGTTTTTTTTAACGGAAAATAATGTCTTCAGGTGATAGAATGCAGTTCTTCCACCAAGGAACACCGCCCTCAATTGAGTGAAATGCTTACCGGTCGCGCCAAAGGATGCAAGGTGCTGTTTGTTGAAAGCGTTTGTGATGAAAGCTGTGATAATTTCTTCTCAAAGGTAAAAAAAAACATACATGTGACAATATTTTTTTGTACAAACAATTAAAATAAAAGCGCATTTATTTAAATTGATTAATTTGGTTATTGAAAATTTCAGGGCCCTTTTTCTGAGAGAAAATTGCCATCATCCTCTTCTACGGGTTCACCCACTCAATCAAAGCAACTCAATGGATTAAATCTGCAAATCAGCAGCATCAAGCTGTGTGGCCCGGAAGTGTTGGCTCGTCAAATAAACGGCCACCTTCAGAGCCAAGTGCTCTCTTTTGTCTCTTCGGTTGTCCCAGGAACCAGGACAATCTACTTCTCCAGGGTATTTAAATATATAAATTTTCTAGCAATTATGTTTTGTTAATTTATAACTTTGATTGCGTTCAGCACGGAGAGAGTGAGAACAACGTCTTGGGTCGTATTGGCGGAGACACTGATCTTTCTCCCCGAGGCCACTGCTACGCTCGCACTCTTGGCAGAGAAATCAATTCAATGGAAATCCCTGAACTCAGGGTGTTTACCAGCCAGCTGAAGAGAACTCAACAAACGGCCGCATTTATCAAGGCGAGCATGGAAAGCCTGGAAGCTCTGAACGAACTGGAAGCTGTAAGAATTTATTTATGACCCACTCCTTTAATTTTTGATATGCTGTTTTTGCATTTTCTTAGTAGAAACTAGAAATGAGAATAATTTTTTCAATAGCAATGCAATGTTAATTTTATTGTCAAAAACCACAATAAAAATTTAATGAAATCCATGCGGAAGTAATAAGTAATAAGATTTTAATGGCTTAATTAGGGCAAAATAAACAAAAATTTTATTAAATCAATGTCAATAATTTTATAGGGTGTTTGTGAAGGCCTGACATATGAGGAAATGCAAGAAAAATACCCAACGGAGTTTGCCTGGCGAGACCAAGATAAGCTGCGCTACCGCTATCCCTGGGGCGAGTCCTATGTGGACATCATGGCCCGAGTGACCCCAGTCATAATGGAACTGGAACGGGCCTCCAATGTCTTGATCATCAGCCACCAGGCGGTACTGCGCTGCCTTGTCGGCTATTTCTTGGGAAAGCTGCCAGGTATAGCATACATCATTTAATGTCGGGGATTTTTATTGAGTCATAAAGTTTCTTAATTAGATTTTTGTTTACCTTCTCTTGAGATAGGGTATTCTCTTGTTTTTACTAAAACAGGAAGAAGAGTTCATATAATTCTATCAGAGAAAAAAACCCAGTGGGAAATTTTCTAATCAGCTTTTTTTCCACAATTTTCACAGACGAGCTGCCTTATCTTGATGTACCCCTCCATACTGTAATGAAGTTGACTACTGATGGCAATGATAGCACATTCGAACTGATTCGTCTTCCCATAGAGTGTGTAGACACATACAGACATAAGCCACAGGTAAATTGTTTTCTGCTCTATTTTCAAAGAAACATTCTTAATTATGTCAATATTTGTGCTTATAGAACTGTTCGGTGCTCCGCAAGCAAGAAGAGGCGCTAATCACAGTTCCTTCGCACTATGATAGTATTAACTTTGGTCTGTTGGAGCACTGACTGTCTCAATTAGACTGAAGGTTGGTTCTCTGTGCTAACTTACTCGTGGCTTTTTATGGTCCTCTTAGTGAGATTTACAACAGCTACATCAAGTCGGAGGAATGACAAAAAAAAAGTATGATGTTTGCTACGATAGATTTATATTTTTCTGATGGAAGCAAATATGAAACCTATAATCGCATTCATGTAAATTTATTCAATTATGCTGGATGCCTGTCAGATTGGCTGATCAAAAATCATTAACATGCTACACATGAGCAAATGACTGAATTTGGGACATCCCGTACCTGCAGTAGAATTATTTTTGTAACACTCCAGCAGTGGTGGTTAATATTTGCAACATTTTTAGCTGATCTGTAACTTCTATAAAAATATTTAAACTCAACTTCTTGTCTCTTGCAATAATTATTATATTTGGCATGTTTGTATCTGTTTCTCTTTTTTAAATCTTCAACAAATCCTAAAATAAATATACCCAAGTTATTAAACAGGAAACCTTTTGCATTTATATAAATTTGCTCTATTTTCCCTTTATATTGCAATAAAAACGAGGGAATAGTATGTGCAGTACATTAAAATTTCCCACGGTCTGCCGAGCACACGTAAAACAAACTTTTAATGAGCGGTGTCAGAATAAGGTCTCTCTTCTATATTTACAATCTTTTTGCGGTTTGCGGCGCTCTCAAATTTATCTCTAGGGCCATTTGCAAAAGTTCACGGCTGACAAACTTTACAACAGCAATGATAAAAAGCAATGGTCGGTGGTTCTAAAGTTAGCAGACACACAGCAGCGTTGTTTTCCTAATTACCAAGCAGGCGTAAATTACGTTCATTATTTGAGAGAGAATTGAAGGCGGCAAGTTTATTTTAAAAGAGCCAGATTTACGGTTGGTGGAATAAGGAATCATAAATTTTCCTGACGTGGAGCGATAAATTCCACCCTTGGTAATGAGATAATATATCAAGGGATTGACTGTATTGTGTATCACCAGAGGCGACGCATCAACCTTTTAGAATAATACAATGCCGGCGAAATGCGCCACGGTGTTTGGGTTCCGCGGTTGGAGTCGTGGTCTGCGTCTGTCAGCCAGAATTATTTATTTTATTTGCCGTTTATGCGAGAGAGCTGCTGGCGATAAGCACAAGCAGCCTGGCCCTTGAATAATCATTGGAGCACGGTGAGCGGCCTCATCTGGGTGCCTGACGCTCTGTGCTATTTTGAGCTGCGCAGAAATTGTTGTAACACCTGGATAATTAATTAAAGAGGGATATAACATATTATCTGCTACCATTAATGACAAAATCAAAATGCATATATAGGAAATTTTTCTGTATTTTCTGGTGTGGTTCTTTATCCAATTTAAAAAGTTAAAATTTTAATTAATTTGTCCAATTTATTCTTATTTAAAATGTCAGACCTAACAAGGAAAGGCTCCCAACTCCCAACACGCAAAAAAATTTGTCGATATTTTGATCCATTAAATTCGTCTCACTTCTCTTATTAACAGAAAAAATGAGCCAATCTTGCATGGTTTGGTTGTAGCAGATCATTTAAGCTTTTACAAATGCAACCCAATGCAACCTGTGCAACTGGCTTGTCTATTAATTTGCGTAGATCAATACAAAAAGCGTGATATTATCATATTAGGCAAGGCAATATCTTCAAAAGCAGGTAGTGCAGGTTGCACTTAATTTAAAATTTGATTATTGATTACCAGCTGCGGCCGACCCATGCAAGATCGGCTCAAAATAATTGTTCTGTAAATAAAGGAAGTGAGACAAAATGAATGGTATAAAAACAAAATCTTTTTGTGCGTGTTGGAGGCCTTACGCTTTTCTTGTAAGATCTAACGTGATAAATCAAGAAAAGGTTTTTGGCATTTGAATTGAAATTAGGCAGTTCCTTATTTTAATTTGTCTGTAAAATTGTCAATTCTGTCATATTTGGGTCAAATACTAAGAAGGTGCAATAGTAATTAAAAACTTTTCTTTCTGAGATTTTCCTCATCCAACTTTATCAATCTGATTATGGTTATAGAACAGCTGCAGAAGAGTGGAAAACTAGATTAGTTAATTTGAAAGTATGAGATGACGAGAAAATATAAATGTAGAAATATTAAAGTTTTGTAACTATAATTTCAAAAGTTTCTACTTCTGCCAATACCGTAATATCAGTGATTTCACGCTATTGTGAATTCTAGAACTTGACAGAGGGAGGCGATGCGGATTTATAGCCCACGCGCTTGCAGTTGAAGTTGTGAGTTTAACGGTGCAAAAGTCCGTGCACTTTTTTCTTTCCCTGGCCGATATATCCGCGTTCAAATGGGAATTACACCTAACTTCCCACATCAACCATGAAAAGTCGGTGTGTGAAAGCCATAAGTCTAAACTTCCACTTGCATCATGTGCAGATCAACTCTGCTGAGAAAATTAATTAAAAGTTCAGCCAGCAGCTTTCTTCGAATAAGAAGAGAAAATTAAACTCCGACCCTGTTTGATAAAGAGGGTTCAGAAATATTTTATGGTTCATAGAAAGGCGAACTTTTTGATCAAAATCACAAAGCCTTGACAGAGAACTTTGTAATTGTCTGTAAGATCTGGGTATATGAAATCCCACTGGTAATTTGAGCCGACCTGCAAACAGTTCATCAACCAAGGGCAAAAAGCGAGTGGAATATTAAATGTATCTTTGTGGCAGTTACACATTAAACAATTTGATTCTTGGGTCGGATGTTTCTGCCTGCGTGAATCCGAAATCAAGACGAGGCAAAGATAGCTTCTGCGAAGCGAGCATGCACAAAGTAAACCTAGAGCTGCTCTCAGAAGAAGCTGTTAAAGATTCATGCCTCGAACAAAGCAAGCAAGACGCGCGCCCGAAAGAACAGCCGCGGGTGCTGCGAATAATTTTATTAAATTTTCATGAATATGTGAGCGAGTTGTGGCGGCGTCTGTTTGCTCAGTTACAGTGTCGCTAGCATTCTATGCTTTGGGGCCCATTTCCATATTAACCGCGGATTGCGGAGGAGCTAAAGGGGTTAAACTAAACAGCTAGCTATGTTAAATGTGTTTACCCTGCGGCCAGCCGCCGGACTGAATCATAAAACGGGGTCGCCAATTCTCCTCTTTTCTGAATTATTGTGCCAGAGCACGCCGTTTTACTTTTATACACGAGCTTCGCTGGAAGAGGGGTCTACGTGAATTATTGTGGCAAACATTTCTGGCTCAGCCATTTAAGCCAAGAGGCTTTCTCGCTTTTCCTCGGAAACCTCGGCCCCCCTATATAAACTTCGTCATCTGAGAGCCGCGAAACAACATTCGTTGTTTGGCGCGGTCTCACGCAAAGTTTGCACTCGGCGCTTCCTGACGCACTGGGAAAATTAGAGACACATGCGATGAATGACGTTAATTTATATAATATACGTTTTTTGGCAACACTCCTCTCACCAGAGCTATTTCCCTTTCCTGGAGCGGCGGGATGAGGTCTCCATTAACCAAGAGCTATTTCAGTACACAAGAATTTGACTCGCTTTCATATATTTTTAAAACATAACACCGAATTTCTTGATTGGAAATAACTTCACAAAGCCACTAAAATTTAAACGAAATTTTTTGAGAACCTTTTAATTAATTACCGGCCATCAAGGAAGGGTGGTTTTAATGACAATTTGTGATGGAGTTTTGAGCTGATGGGAATTACAGTGGGCAGAAATGAAACGGACAATTATAAGAGTGGAAAATTGGCTTTGTTCAAAAGTTGTTGTCGACTTCCAGTTTGAAACAACAGAGCCAGCTCGCTGGGCGAGTATTCCCTTAGGAGGCGCCGGATGACGTCAAAATGAACTTCACTTTATTTTAGGAATAATAGACTGTTTTTGTCAACCACTTCTGAATACCCACTTTTCAAGTTTTTGATTGTAAAAGTTGCAATAAGAAAAATAAAAGTTATTGCGAACAGATAAAATTAAGTTTAAATTACCTACATTATTACGCAAATATTGTCTATTAATCTATCTAGATCAATATTACTTTTTTTATTAAAATTAAATTAACGATTAAAAAGAAGAAGAAAAGGTTAATTATTAAATATTTTGAGAATTTGAGAGTCTCGTCGGCGAACAACTTGCAAACCATCAAATGAAAACAAAATTGCCAGTTATTGAAATTCAGTCCGCCTCCCACCTCCCATAAACTGTTGCAAAACAAGCTGATATAATATTTATATTGAAAAACTTTTACAATTCGTGTCTCGTGTGGCTAAACTCGATCTCTTCTTGCATAGTAGGCGAAATTGCCCCGCACTCGGAGGAACACCCGAAAGTGGAAATATTGAATATTCATGACTTGGCACGAGGGCGTAATAAATGTGAGCAATAACTTTCCATTTGCTGCCGGGAAGCCTGCAGAATTCGAGGTTATGTTGTGCCGGCTGGCACATCGATTGCAACGGTTGCATACTCAGCACCCGCCGACACACCGCCTCTCGATCATCCTGTGGGTGGGTGCCGAATATCGGGTAACGGAAGCAGGAAACTGCGTGCAGGTGCCTTTTGATGGATCGGAACGAAAATGCGATATATTTCCCGAGAAGCGAACGGTATCGGTTTTCAATGTAAATCTTGTAAAATAAACTGTAATATCGATATGCCTAGTGGTTGAGTATTTATTAAAGACCAGCGAAAGTCAAAACAATTCCAAAGGTCCGATTATAAATTTAATGTATAAGTCATGTAAAAGAAGAAAATTTATTTATACATCAAACATCATACCATAGTAATGATTTTTATAAACACTCAAGAAAGAAATAGAGATCAAAATTGGAAAAAAAAATGACAGAAAGGATTGATTTTTATTCCATAAAATAAATTGACTAACAATATATAAAGAATGCATTAAATTTTGTTTTATGAATGTGTTTTTTTTTTTCAAATTTATAAATACTGAATTGGATGATTTCTTAATCTTCATATCTGATAAAAGATAAAAAAGTTTATTCTTCATTAGTTCAAGATTATATAGAAACGTTTAAAATCACAATTTGAATTATAGAAAAAAAATTTTTTGACAGTTCAAATAGAATTATTTATTGTTGCTATTACTCGCGGCGGAGTTATTGAGCAGGGGTAATTACATTTATTTTAATCTTTACCTGATGTAATTAGTAAATTTTCCATTGTGCTACTAGGCTGCAAAAACTAATTGAAAGCAAGCAAAAAGCAAGTTTCCAGCGAGCGTGATAATTCATTCCACGATCCTTTGTTTGTGCTCCGTGAGCCGGCGATTGATAAAAGCGGAAGGGCTGCTTGATGCATTAATTTCGTTATAGATGGGTGTTAAGACTGACACTAGGAGGAAATTGAAAGAAAAGCCGTGACAAAGAAAACGTTGGCCGGAACAGAGGGAGTATATTTTAATATTGGGGAAGGCAGACGACGAGCGTAGCAATTTCCTCCTGTCCCTCGGCTTTTTAATCGTCGGAGGAAAATTGCTTGGGCGTG